TAAATTTCTATAATTATATTAAAAAACTGATAATCTCTACTTCATCTACTCTATGTGTCTGGTAGTAACACATGATAAAAGATGATGAATGTCCTATTTAACACAAAACTGGGTAAAATAAGTAATTTTCGTATCATTTTGCATCATAGTAGAAATGGCTTGTCTGTACTCTGTTTCTGTTTATTTTATTGACTGCTTTCTAAAAATAGAGTTGAAAAATAAAAAGCTTACCAAATGTTTATAGCTTAATATAAGTTGTATCCCTTTATTGCCTATTGTAAAGCTGCTGGCAGGGCACATCCAACATATTTTTGTGTTGAACACTGGCTGTTATCAATGCCTGCAAGAAAAACCTTGAAATTATGTACATGTGTAAGCTACATAATTATAACACACCAAAACAGCATTTTATTCAGTTTTAAAATGTTTAATAATGCAATGATTTACAGTACAGCAAAGAGTCAGAGCAGCTTAGCAATTTTAAACGGCCATTTGTAACATTAATGTCCAACTGCAATAACATGGTACAGTATATTTATTACAAGATATGGTATTCCAAGAAAAGAACATGTAACCTTTTAAAATATAAAATAATAGTTCTTCAGCAGACTGCCAAATATACTACTTGTAAAAATAGTAATCTGTCTGATTCTTTATAGTACTTATGTTTAAAACAAGAAGTATTAGATTGAGTTCAATAAAGTAATTTTAAAATGTATTAGTTTGAGTTCAATAAAATAATTAAAAAATGGATTGTTTGAACATCTCAAAATCATATAATATTTATAAATAATATTTCAATATAATATTAGATCTAATAACTGTAAACTTACCAAACTGTTTATCAAATGCTACTGTTGTAACTTTACATACTGAATAGATCTATATGACACTGTTGTGACTTGCCATACTGTCAGATTCGGCTCTCATTTCTCTCTCCCCCCCCCCCCCCCCCCCCCTTCCCCCATCTTTTTATTTCATTACACCTGCATTACCAGTACAGAAAGACACAATACCAGATTTTGACTAGTGAATGTTAAAACAATACTATCATTTACTCATTATTAAAAATGGTTTTTTTTTTTTGGGAGGCGTGTTTGACCTTTTTTGCCCTCTCACCTCCCCATTAACCCATTGGTGTAGTCTAGCTGCCAGTCGACTGGCGTGTCCACTCGGTGGGGTTCGCCAGATGGCTGGTCAGGTGTGACTTGCTCCGTTTCACTGGGGATGTTTGTGTTTTGTTTGTATTACCACTTGTGTTTCTGAGTTTAGGGCGTTGAATAAACCGTTTTAAAGACACTTTAAATTTTGTTTACCCAGCTACAGGTTTTAAAAATGGATTTTCTTTTGGTGCTCGACTCGTATATTTACATCATTTTGAAGTCTATATTTAGATTTATCTTGCTATAAAAATGCTATTGGCTGACGTGTATTAATAGATCGAATACTTGTTGGGTTTTAGTTGTTAAATGTAAGTTTTGTCTTATTAACATGTCTATAACTAAGGTAGTCTTATGTGTTTACAAAATATTCAAGCTTGTCTTACCGTGTGTTTTTTTCTCTCTAACAAATGCGCTCATTGGAAAGATTACCGTGCTTTATTGGTTTCTAATATAGTTAAAATCATCGGCTTACACGTGTCTGCGAACGTGCAGGCTACCTACAATACATATTTGACTGTGTTTTAGCTCAAAGTGAAGGGGGATCAATATGTTCCTAATATTATCGCTGTTGGTAATTAAATTTCAACACATAGGGGCGCCTGTGTGAACTCGTTGAACGAACTGAATTGATACTCATCTGTGCAACGATCGAGCAATGGAGATACATTTTTTTATCGGGTGAGTGTTTTGTGTTTGTGCGAGAAGGTGATGGGATCCTGTTTGATTCGTTAAAGAGTGACGTAGTTTTTAAACAGGCTTACATGTGTTAACACAGGTCAACAGTGGAACCTGTGAAATCTCCAGTGTCTTCGTGGCACAGATGAAAGTTAGAGTGGGGTGGGGCTCTTTAGTTTTTTTCTTTTATATAGGTAACCTTTACACAAGATCGGAGAGAACACAATCAAGAACCCGCCGAAGGTGTATAGATGTGTAGCTACGCCGCCAGTTGTTGTGTCAATAGCCTTATTTTTTAAAATGTACACATTCGTGGGTTAATGAAGACAAGTGGTCACGTGTCTCGTATCGTCTGCAGTTTGGTGGGAGTTGTTCTTCGTTCGATTTGCAGATTGCATGTTCTTTCCAGTTACGGTTTTACCTTTGAGGATGTGCGCTTTAGTTTGCTTTGTTGTAAAACCTACATTTTGGAAAAAAATATGTCAATTGTGTTTAAATATTAATTTTACTAGTTTCATGCCAACTTTTTCTTAAAAGGCGAAAACAAAAGCTGTATCCTGTGTTATTGCTGGTAGCTCTATGTCCTAGGTGTTATTGATCCGCTTTTGGTGTTCTGTTTCTGTCGTTTTCTTTTTTCATTGAGGAGCTGAATTCTTTATTAAAACCGAGTATTGTGGTATGATTTAGCCATAACGTTGCTGTAAAGCGTCTGACGTTTAGTGTAAAAATAAAAAGACAAACGATACCACTCTCAGCTGTCACGAACAGAGATGATTCATAAGCGAGTCCACGCAACTACGCGCTCAGTTAAGTTTTGATTAAAGTTAATTAAAGCCGCGACATTTGTTGTTCGTTGCACATTGTTTCATGACGTTGTTAAATTCATCTTTCAGAAACCGTTTGCCTGCCTTAGGAAACGTTTCGTAGTCTTCAGTTTCTCTGCGTACTGTTGCGGTGAGCAGTTTCTTCGCCAGAATGTCATGAAATAAACGCTAACATAAAAACAAGAACGATTTATTTATGTGCGAAACAATCTTTTCCAAATCTCTTCAAGTGTCGTGTCGGCCTTTGTGAGCAAGTAGAACCAGAACAAGACCGTCGAGGTTCTGTTAGTGCCCAGTTATGTCTGCTCGCTCACATCATACCGTTATTTTGATGGATGGCTATGACGACGGTATGGATAAAGGTTGACATTCTTCAATTTATTTTTCTTGTTTTAAAGTTCTAATTTTTTTTAAATTTTAACATCAACTCGACAAAAGTAGCTTCCCACGTGGGTTAGTACTTTCAATTGGGTTTTTGTCCTGACGTATAATATTCTCTGGCTTCAGAACGTAATGCCATTTTGTTATATCGTGTCAATTACATTCTCATCTTATATGCCAGTTACCCTTTTAGCATGACATTTTGCATGAGTATATCTTCATATATTCATTTGAAAAGCTCGAACAAAGTTAGCAACGATTAAAAGCAGCCATCTTGATTTACTTTAATTACGCGCTGTTGTCGACTTGGTGTATTATTTTTATTAATCATGTCTGGGTCATTTGTGTGGGTCAAAGTATAAGCTAGTTAAAACTTATCACAAATAATCAATAAGGTGGTTGCTTTATGTAAGTTGAAGACAGCTGTTTGCCTGTTGGGATGAAATAGGCTTTAATAAAATAAAAAAATTAAATGTCTTTATTAAAGAATAGAAAAATCATATAGATCTATACTGAAATATCTAGTAGGCTATATTTTTCTCCCAGGCGCTTTACTATAACCAAGTATTTAGCTTCTCTTTTAAGTACATATATTTTGTTATCGGTACCTCAGTATTTTCTTTTGGTGACGTTATTGTTTCCATGTTGCTTGAATGATTGGCTGGGATTTGAGAAAATTAGTATGGATGATGATACATTTTTTACTGGCATCAATAAAGAAGTACGTAAAGGTATTTGAGCTTCTTAACGACTCTGCCCACGATATTTCACGAGGATCACATCGACTTATTGATTATAACTTTTCTTTCCATATTGTTTTGAAAGCGGTTATCTGACTTCAGTGGGTAATTCACGTGACTACATCAGAAATGTTTGCCTTATCATGGCCGGCAAAGAACACATTTTTTGCACCGACTGGATTCAAACACCGTTTACTCATTATCTAACATAAAACTTGCAGGTACCCATCTTAGAGACGCGTGCCACTTAGAAACAGTCATACTTGAAGAATCTAGTTTAATTTTGGCCTTACACCCACCGACATTTAGAACCTCCAATTTGGTTCCATATGTACTGTAGACAGTTTTTTCTTACTGATCAGTCACTGCAGTTTGTGTACAGATCGGATTAAGTTGTAAAGCAAAAGAAGTTTTTTTTTTTTAATTTTAATGATTAATTGAATAATATCTATTCTACATTTTAGCATTAAAATTCAAGGCATATAGATCTACTTTAAGTAAAAATTAGAGGACATACTCGAAACCGGGTTTACCAAACTGACAGTGTATCTTATTTGTGAAGACGTGCGATGCAAGTTTTAATGAGACAATTGTTAAAAGTTGTAGCAGCACAAGTAGGACAACTTAAACAAAACAACACCTTAGTCGCGGAGTCCACTCAGCTCTAATGGGTACCTGAATCACGCTTGCGAAGTAAATGCGCCCGTGTATAGGGCTGACCACACCATCCCTTCATTTACTGCGGTCAAGAAACATGAACTCTACTTCATCTATCCGATCGATTGTTAGGTATAGAGGTTGATGGTCATCTCTCGTATTGTAACTAATACCATAAAACAGCTCAGAAAGATGTTTCTCTTTTGTACAATCTAAACCGTCTGTACCATTAAGTTACCAACCTAGAGAGCTGGATGTGTTTGTAAAAATTAACAAACATTCGAAAGCTGTAGCCGGGGGCCTAGTGCGTCTTGCCGTCTCTAAATGGCTCTGATGGGAAGGTAATGGGAGCTATCCGTGGCTTTATTAGCTTTAGGTTTAACATGCTCTCAGGCGGCACGAGAAAAAAAAAAGTTAAGCTTCTTTAGCTTCGTTCAAAGTTTGATGGCTATTTTAACTCCTAGCATTTCACTGATTTGTCGCGTCGAATGTTCATGACGCAAAGCGGATGTGACGTGTTGCTGGCTTGTATTTCTCCACTATTTCGAGATTTGGTTCGAACTGAAATAGGAAAAGATACTATTACCTGTGTTTTTCCAGCTATCTTGAACCACTGTCCGCCCCCGAGGGAGTTTCTAGTTCTCACCCCCACCCCGGACGTTTTTGGGTACGAGGAGGCAATTACTCGATGTTTAGTTTCGGCGTTTTGTATGTCCTTAAAGTGTCAGTCTATCCCCTGATTGAAAAGAATGATAAACATCCTCCGTTTTGTTATCCCTGTATTAAGAAATACAGTATACCCTGACTTATTGCTGGTGATCGGTTCCGGGTTCACCCGTGATAAGTTAACGTCCACAAAAAAAAGGGATTAGGGACGCTATACCTATATTAATAGTTGTACATTATCAACTAGAAATGCGATGAAGAATTAGCTGTAATGACGGAGAGAATATCTCCTTATGAATTTTTTCCAAAGCCGCCAAAAAATCTAGGACTGTAGTATAGTATATTATGAAGTTGTTGGCCAATCCTATCGTAGGGCTTGAGGTAGTTTTTTTCACAACGCCAGGTGTTATGGTCAATACAATTATTTGTGCCCTATGACTAACCCAGTACTCTATTACGTTGGTTAATGGTATCATATGGTTTAGTTTCTAAGGCAACACCATGTATTCGTACATGTAATTACTGGCGTAGTACGCTCAAGTCTGTATTATCTTACATCTCTTTGCTAGTCTATCGTAGGGTTTAGTTTTGGTTGTATAGCAACCCCCATGTATTGCGTAAATGTAATTACTTGTGTGATTGGACAAAGCCAGTACTAAATTACTTTGGCTAGCAGTGTTGAATGGTTTAGTTTAGTTTCTATAGCAACACCATATATTATGTTAATGTAATTAGTGGCGTGGTACTTCTACACCCGTATTATATTACGTCTATTTTTAAAAACGTAATTCATATAAAGACTTAACACATTTGAACGGACTGCTCACCTATGTATGTATGTATGTATGTATGTATGTATGTATGTATGTATGTATGTATGTATGTATGTATGTATGTATGTATGTATGTATGTATGTATGTATGTATGTATGTATGTATGTATGTATGTATGTATGTATGTATGTATGTATGTATGTTTGTTTGTATGTTTGTATGTGTGTGTGTGTGTGTGTATTTATGTGTGTGTGTGTACTATATTAACGATAACATGAATACAAAAAAGACTTTAACATTCTCTATGTAATGTTATTTTACCAACGTGTGCCCTGACAATTAATTAACACTTGACTTTCTTATAAGCCACCCATTGTCAACCTACACTTTTCTGTGTTAGATCCTAAAGAGCTGTACCTGACAGATCTGGTCAGTGGCAAAGATGCGTCCTCGTCATCTGACTCTGGGATATCTACATTAGATGATTTCCAAGACATAGCCAATGTGACGGACCTCCATAGTTTTTTGGTGAGTTTTTTTTTTCCTTACACTTTTGATTGTTACCTTGATATACAACTGAACATTTAAATTGAGTTTTTTTCCCTTTCTAATTTTGCTTTTATTTTTATTGTTATACCCACTATGCAAGTTCAAAGGAAAAATGACGATACTAATTTTGTTGTACACGTGGTATACATATCACAATATTGTGTATGTAATACAGAGTTTAATGTGAAATAACCTACTGTTGGACAGGGTATTAAAATAATTTAGTTTTACACTGGTGTTTATTATTATAGATGACTACTATGACAGCAGTAATAGTAAATCCCAGTGTGAAGCCAGACAGAAAAAAAGTCTGTTTGAAAAACTTCCTGGTAGCCTACTCAAGGATTACCTTTAGTGTGTGATGACATTTATCATTTTGTCAATACCATCTTGTTGAATTCAAACCCCGCCTTGTGAAAAATGTCTTCTGTTATGTGCTATAACCTCTATAAAGTTACCACAAACTAGATTTAAACACCCCGGTCCCTACTGCTTACCGGCCCATACTGCTTACCGCATACTGCCCTTAAATTTACCATTTGAATAACCGTGCAAAGACAGAAAGATGTTTAATGATCAAGCACAAATTTATATTGATCCCTTTTTGACGGGCTATTGATTTTCAAAAGCAAACACCTCTTTGATATATACTTTTTTTTTTGTTATTGTGTTGCGGGGAGACTCTGATATCGATTTTATTTGTAGCCCGAATACTACACACTAGAACACGTGTATTGATATGCATTGATGGAAAAAAATCAATGGCTGTACAGTGTCTTTGTTTCTTGAATAGGCGAGTGCGGACTTGCTCTTCTTATCACGTGGTCCAATCTACGTTTACAGCCGTTAGCGTTACTTAGCCTCATATTCTCCAGAAAATGAATCATCTGTGTCATAAATGCAAGCCTTTGTTCGATCAGGTCCATAATTATTGATACGATCGTTATGTATAGCCGTACCCTAAATGTGTTAGTGGTTCGATTAGGGGTACGACTTTGCCGACAACACCGCTCTTCAATCAGACTTTTTTTTAAATTTCAACAAAATAACACAGTTTAACGTTTTAGCGAAGAAAAAAATAATTGATTTTAAGAATTAAAAAAAAAAGTATTTAGCACACAAGCCAGCAATTATATGATTTATTTTCTGTTTTAAAAAAAAAGATGTTTTCTTATTACAATTCAGCTTAAAAGTTGATCTTAGAACATAGGCCTACACTCTTCGTGATGTATTTTATTTTACCAAGTTAATCACCGCTATGTACGGCCCTTCACGTCACATTGTCTTCTGCTGCTATTAGTTTTAACTCTCTTATTGAAAAAAGATCTCAGGATGGATATGTTTAAACCTAACTTCACAAGTAAAACAGCCATCCTTAATCAATACAATATGTTGGGTAAATGCTGCTTCTTACAGCTGCCTCATACATTAGAGTTTTATTGTTTCTTTGTCAGATGTCATTATTTTTTAAAGGTTGAACTGTACATAAACTATCCGCGCCCTCTATCATTTCACATCCTACAACTTCATGTTTAAAGACCGTTCATATGCTTTCATTTTTTTCTTCTAATTAAAACGTAATTACACTTGTGCTGTTGTCGTAAAATGGTTACACAATGCTTCTGTACTTTACCCTACTATAGAAAGTTTTCGTATAAAAAATCTAGATGGTTGGCTGTGTTAGGATAATTTGCCTTATCTGTCCGACGCCAGAGCTTTTGTTCTGTCTGATGGGAAAATAAGTGATTTGATGAAGCTCAGCGTAACTGAGCGTTTTAGTATGTTTAGGTTTTTATTTTTCTATCTTTTAATAGTCAAAACTACCGAAACTGGAAGTGCTGTCTGGAAAAATAGCCCAAACTGCCGTTAATACAATTTTCCTCTCCATTTAAATTAAGCCAATGACTCAAGTAATTGCTTTTTAATTTTTTACTTTTGTCATGCAATTTATTTTTTTATTAAAAATAAAATAAAAACCTGTATCATAACAAGCTTTTAAATGTACTGAAAATAAAACAATAAAAAAACATTGCCCTTTTCAATAAAAACTTTTGGTCGCTAAAATTTGTAAGTTCGGTACTTTCTGTTTTGACAGTACATGCTTTTGGGACGCCGCCAAAAGTGGGAATTATATTTTAAACCGATAATTCTAAGAGGTTAGTAAAGAGTTATCACTTGTAAAATGTGGCATATCAAAAGATCTCTATGCGAATATCAAATGAAACTGTATTAGTTTACTGAGTTTGTATTTGCGCGTTTTCTTTTTGCGCAATTTTCTGTTTTCCGTTGCACTTTTTTTTTCTAAGATGGTCTTTTATAATTTTTATTTTTAAGAAATACTAAGTGTAGGACACCTCATTATTTTCTCCCCCCTCCCCATTGCGTAGATCCTCATGTGAATTAGGCGTTAAGTCATTTATGGGAGCCGCCAAAATAAGCTTTAAAAAAAAGAAACATTGATAAAAATAGCCTGACCTACTCACGAGCAAAGTTAACTGATTTAGTTTCAAGGTCTCTGGCATTTTAAGTGACTATTGAGCATTCGTTGTCCGTGACCTTATTTATGAGGTCATCAACATAGTGTCTGCCTTGTTACGGCACTGTAAGCGTGTCACTCGCGTGGCGAGGCTAAAACATATCTTTTAAAAAATGTAGGGATTTAGTTAGGCCTAGCATTTTTTTTTTAAAAGGGAGGAACGAATCACAGTTTTTGTCTTCACTATTACGTCAATTGTTTCCCTTTTACTTCACGTTCCCTTTCATTTACTCAACATAATCACTCAGATCTAACACTCTAATAGAGTTTTTGATGAAAATTTGATTTTTGTCACGAAAATAACAATGTCGGGGTGGAATGGAGAAATTCCTAGAAGATAAATCTGCCGGCCGGAAAGTTTTTAATTAAAAAAAAACAACAAAAAAAAAAAAAACAACAACAAAATACTTTACTATTCTATCATTATAACAAATGTGGTCCATAGTTTTTTGACATGAAGCCTGAATGTGCTATGTCAAGTTGCTTCGTATTTTGTATTTGCGTTTCGGTATATGACTAAAGGAACCTTTTCATGTCGTTCAACGCCTGCGTGGGCCAAACAGGAATATAAATAAGTAATGGATCGAATGTCACGTGTTGAAACACGTGCAGCGTGCGGTGACACCGTCTCTGATAAAAAATTTGGGTTGTCTATCTTTAAATACACCGGACCGTCTGGTGTGAGGTCAAGGACGAACTGTACCAGCGAAGTTGAATGACAAGTACAAATCTAGTTGTCTGTCGATCGAACGGGAGATTGATTTAGATCTACAATACAATCTTGTTTTACTTTGTCTTTGAGGGGGAAGTAACTGTGGTGACAATCACTGGCGTTACTTGTGTGTATGTGTAAACTGTGTGTTGGGAGTGAGAGGAAGGGTGTGCTGTTACGAGTTAAATAGAATAGAACCATCACGTCAGAAAGAACTTAAGGGCTTTTTTGTCGGAAGCATTATGTCGCAGGACTATGACATGGTTTGAACATCACCAGCGCAAGGCAAAATGGAAATCAAAATGGACCCTTCCAACCTTCCCCATCACCTTCCCACCCCCCCTCCCCAGAATAGATATGTATCTACACAACCAACTATTTTTATATATTCCTGATCCCTGTGGGTAAACTAAAAGAATAGAACTTATTGATTGGTGACAGCCACACAGCACCTGGTGTTAGGTCATTGAACATGTCTATTATGTGTAGTGGTTAGTTAAGAAGATTTAGATTTTTACAATTTTCCGGGGGGGGGGGGGGGGGGGCAGAGTTGGCCTTTCCAATGTGAGCTAATTAAAAGGGACATGATTCATTGGGTGGCGCAGTGTTGAAATTTAAGCTCACATCTCCAGGGTTTCTTTGAGGCATTTTTTCCAGTGGAGCGCACCATAAACACACTCCCCCACCCCTTGGAAAATATATTCTTTAACCTGTGTTTGGCACCTACCCAAACCCCCGCTTGGAAGTATCTGAAAGTAACCTTGCATAGATAGGCACCCTCACCAAAAAACGTCTCCTCTCTCCCAGTCAGTTACACAAATAGTAAATTGTCAGTTTTTTTAAAAATATTTCCCGTCATGACTTTGACTTTGTTATAGTGTATTACTGCTACCAACTGATCAAGCCTTTTAAGTAGTAATGTGTCTATTGTAAAAAAAATCACATTAAAACGAGTTACAATTAATTTTTCATTAAAATATTTTTTAGGATGGAGAGTTGAAAGACCTTGACTTTGGTTTAGACTTCTCATTGACTAAGCTGGAACAGGATGATGTGTTTGATTCAGGTAAGTTTCTGTGTTGCACACATCTGAATGTTTATTATGTTCATATTTTTACATCTCTGAATGCTTACCTTACTAATGCAGACAAACTGATCCACTAATGTTGACTTATATCATGGTTATTCTGTCATTGTCTTAACATTGAACTTCCCTCTTCTAAGTTTTTATTTAGTTAAAGACAAAAATGAAGTTTAGAATTTCCCTGCTCCATGTTTTTAAAAAAATGAAACTTCTTTAAAGTACATATTTCTTTCTCATATTAAGTTAAAAAATTAAATTGTAGAAAATATACTGTTTTTTTTTTAAAGTTAAGAAACAATTAGTTTTTTTTTTAAAGCATGACACTTTCTGAAAGAAATTATAACATTTTTGACTATGGAAACATGTTCTAGACTGCAAATGCAGGCTGACAAAAGAGTTAACCAGCTGTATTAATAAAATATTCTACATCAAACATACAAAATCAACTAAACTCAGCTGACATACATCATGTCTATGTAAGCACTGCGGTGGAAGGTTTTGTCATACATTAACCCTAACATGGCTCACATAAACAGCCTCACCTGCTGTGCATATTAGGCTTTACCATTGTTGATCATAAACATGTCAGCTACAGCAACAAATACTGTCTCTGATATTTTTTTGTGAGATTTGTACATAATACATACACTTTTTTTTGTTTATAATTTAAAAAAAAATTTATTTGGTAATAGGGGTTAGCTATTTCTCATTTATTTTTACTTTTTTTTGACTACTGAATTATACTGTATAGAATATTGACAAATACAAATGTTAAATAAACAAATTATGCTACTTAAGTGAAATAAGTTTTAGAATTGATTATTTTATATTTATTTATTTTCATTTGTATGCAGAACAACCAAACTGTTACCAAATGTGTGTTGAGTAGAATGTAGATTTTAACCCACCAATACTGACAGTTGCTAAAAGGCAACATATCATTTTTTGCACTTAACACACATGCATCATAGGGTACAGGTACCGGCGTCGCTAGGTCGGGTGTAAACCCCCCACCTAAGAAACAAAGTATATATATGTGTGTGTCTGCCTACATAGGCCTATAATTTAAATATATGCCTCATACGCGTACATGTATGTGTTATAAGCTTTAATTACTGCAGACTTAATAGTAATGATGTTAATCTATAGTTTTTTTTAATTATACAGTTGTATGTAGCATTGTTTTCTCTATAGTTAGCATGTTTACGTCATGGTGTCACCCATTCCCTCTTGTAATAATCGTTGGTTTGTACTTAAAAGACTATTTAACTTTACTTTATCATCAATGGAACTGGCAAAAAAGCATTATTCTTCTGTACATTTTGCAATTTTTTGCCATGGTGTCACCCCATAAATGGTGTCACCCGGTGCAGTCCGCACCCACCGCCCGCCCTCACTAAGTTTGATTATAAAAAGTGTAGAGGGTTAAAAAAAAGTCTTTGTGCATACACACACAGACCTATATATCTACATATATATAGAGAGAGAGAGATAAAGAATATTGATATTATGGTCATGTTGCCTGGTACAAACCAAGAATTTTGTTTTGAAATATCTTTGTAAGATATTAGGTAAACATAAAAACTATTGAGTACCGTCAGTGATAGCATTGAGTACCTACTGCAGAAACACATAGTACTCACATATCTGTAGAATTAAGCATGTAACTAAACAACAGCTGAACTGTTAATTAGAAAAGTTATTGTTCATGTGCTTTGGGGCATAGCAAAAATTGGTCAAACCTGTTAGTTGAATGGGAGTTCAACCAAAAAGTGTAACCAATGAAACTAAGGCTTTACTCATAGTAGAAATCCTTTCTTGTGTAGTATGTAACAGGTGAGTAGTAGAATTATGACTAGCAATGCTTCAAAGTAACCATTCATATGAGTGTCACGGTAAGCAGATACAGCTGTGTTATGTAACTCTATATCTATCAATGAAAACTATAGTTTCATGAATTTTACAAGTGAGTTTACATCTTCTTTTTTGTCCTTATGTTGAGGTTGTTATATTCTATTGTTTGTGTATGGATATAGTAAAATTACCCAGAATACATTTAGGTTAATGAAAAGTTATAGAATGTAAACATACAGCATATATTTGTCTTTCATTATGTAATGTATTGTTTGTATATAAATATCTTAATTTTAACTTGTCTAAGCTATGAAGAAAGACTTACATTTTTTAAAATTGATTGTTTTATATTATGAAAGTTTCTACTATCAATAACAATGTTGAAGTCTAGTTAAAGAATTGTTTATTTTACAGAACTACTAGTGAAGAGAGAGCCCAAGTCTCCCTCACCAACACTAAGTATTCAATCAGGTTCTGATGGCTACTGTCCTCAGGTATGTTTATACATTTCTCTTTTAAAATCAAACACAAGCAGGCAAAAAATGTTGCATTTGTTATTTTATGTTGAAAAATTATGGCGGATAGCAAAACAGTGACTGAAATCTCTCATTAGTTTTATTTTCTATGGTCCATAAAGCAGAGCTCAAGGCTTGTGTTGATATGACCACTAGGAACTGAATGGTCAGTAAGTAGCCATTTAACTATTGCCAGGTGCTAATAGAAGCTGAGTGCAGACATGTGCGCCAAAATTCATTGAAATTCCAAGAATTTCTCAACAAACTGCACTTATTGCCTTACATTAATTTGTCCTTCAGTTGTATTTCACCCACACAGTGTTTGCTGGATGGAATGTTACTAACAGGCAGGCTCCACCAGGGGGCTAGTTCAATGCAATCTGGATATGATGACAATGGAAAATCATTAACTCCATTCTTGTGCTCATTAATGATAGTCTGTCATTCTATCCTTGGCGGTTTGTCAGAGTGTTGACAGGTTGACTGCATGCCTTTAGGTGTTGAACTGCTGAGGGAAGCAAAACTTGGTTCTTATTACTGTAGCCCCTCAATTGTTTTAAAAACAGAAACTTTTGTTATTTTAACTAGCTTTTATGTTAATAGTTATTAAAAGTATTTCTGTTGAGAAATTTGTAAAAGTTCTTTGCTTAAGATATTTAATTAAAGCAGGTTTTTCTCATTAGGCTTAATGTTGTATCTGATAAGGTCACTTTGAGTATTACTTACTATTTTCCTTATAAATTTAATTGCAGAATGTGTATAAATATCACCAAAAAAAAACTCAATTATAGATGTTGTGACTGTTACCAAAAATAATTAATAAAAATATCACTGAAATTGACATTAAAAATTGGTTTTACTTATCCACAAACCACTTTTCAAAATCAACATGTTTATTTACACTCAAAGCTGACTTAAACTACAAATAAAATTAAGTATAGTTTATTCCACCAATTTTTTCCTGAATTATTTAAAAACACATTTTCCTGAATATCTGTCTTCAACATGCAGAATATTTTAAGCACCTCAACAAAAATATTGCTACAGTGTGTTCAGACCCGTGCATCATGTTGTTTATCTTTGCTAATAGTCATTTTTCTTCCACCTTTTTTAAAACAAAAGATTATTTAGCTGGAAGACAACTGTAACAGAGAGAGCCATCAAACTAGAATGAATTTTTCTGACTGGTCTAGTTACGTGGACTCAGTTTTTCACAGCAATAATAATGTAGTGTTAGAGTTGTCTAAAATGCTGATGATATTTAAATTTTTTTATATCTAGTGCTTGTGAAAATTTAATCATGTTGTACAAAATTAAATATAAACAACACTTGTATTTTTTATATAAAGCTTGGCTTTAAATATATCATTGTTAGAATAAAAAAAAACATTTATGCATAACTGTAAAAAAATTTCCGCCCAGCAGCAACCGTTGTCACCAGACTTCTTCAACTACCAGAATGACATCAGCATTAAGGACGAGAGGACTCACATGATTCTACCAACATGCTACACCCACCACAGCTACGACACTGAAGAACATTATGCACCAAGCCCGTCCTCCTTCCCACAAGAGACCTACATCATTGAAGCTGCTTGCTCGCCTTCTCCCAGTATGTCCCCGTCTTCACCATCATCCCCTTACCAATCCCCATCCTCCCCACCACTCTTCCCTACCTACCTACCCAATGTCAAGAAAGAGACATCAAGCCCCAGCGCAGGTCACATGCAGCCGCCTGTCTCCCCGCCGGCAGCTCAACAGAGATACATTGTGATGCCCAGTCTAGCGCCAGTGAAAAGAGACTCCACGCCAGGTGTAACAATCATCACATCCCAGCCAAACATTGTCATACAGCAAGGGAACGAAGCCAAGCTCACCACTGCCTTTAACATAGACACCATCTTAAATAGTAAAATTAAGATTCAGCCCAAACCTGGATCAGAGTCCATCAGTCCACCAGGTATTTTTTTAATTTAATCAGAAGATTAACTGTTTGCAACGCAAATGATGAGTTTAACATTTTCATTTGATTATTAAATTGGCATTTTTAAACTATTTAAGCAGTCATTTTAAAAGATTTAAATTCAGCTGAAACCCTTTTGAGTTTATATTTCTGTTTAAACTGGTTCTGATCAAAAAGTATTATATGGCAGACAACTTATACTAAGTTTGTATGCTTCTTTTGTCTGTTATTTTAAAATATAATATTGTGGATATCAATAAAGTCTTCATTTGCAAGAGCTGCATAGACTAGTTTGAAAAATATTAGATACAATTTATAATAGGTGTAAGTTTTTTTTAATAAAATATAACATATGGCACTAATATGAGCAAAAAACTAATTATAATCATTAACTGGCATTAAGGATTAGTTTAATATTAAGCTTGTTTTTTTTTTCTTAAACTTGTAACTGGTTTAAGTTGAAAACAAATTGAATGTGTTACTTGTTTCCTCAGCAGGTCTTCAGTGGATTACAACCACATCCAGTCAGGTGCCTTATACAACCCAGTCCATCCCTATCATTTCATCCTCATCTATAGTATCAGGTGTTGTCCCAGCTATTGCTGATGTGAGTATTCTAGTTCAATCTGTCAGCATCTTAACACTGCAACTATTTTGTCTTTTTCATCCAACTCCCCAACAAGTGCCGCAGTATTGTCCTGCTACCCCTATATTGTCCTATATCAACCCAATACTTTCCAACAATGTTGTAGGAATGTAAATAAATAGATTTAAAATTGTCTTTATTTTAAAAAATTATGTTTTTTATTTGTAGGAAAAATCATTAAAACGAGCACAGCGGATAATAAAGAATCGTGAATCTGCTAGCTTATCTAGAAAACGCAAGAAAGAGGTTGGTTAAAGTTTTAAAACTTTTTACAGCTATTGGTTTTATGTTATTTGTTTGATTTGTAACAATCATTATGACTGTTTCAGTACCTAAGCAGCTTGGAAGAAAGATTGCAACAGTGCAAAGATGAAAATGATAGGTTACTCAAAGAAAATGATACTCTCAGAAGACAAGTGGAAGTTCTACAAAAAGAGGTCAGATTTTTTCTAATTATAATTTTAAACTTATGCCTGTTAGGGCTATGCAATCTGTCCTAAAGAATATACTAGAAAGGGCACAGAAATAGGAATCTGGGGAAAAAGAATAGAGGAGGCCAAAAATGTCCTAGATATCTCTTGAGTGTAAGACTGGAGAGGCTGCAAAGGCAATAACACACTTTATATCTATAATTTTAATTTTATTCCATATAGAATGTTACACTGAAACATCCCAGTGGGATAAGTCCTGCCAAAAAGTTGTGCCTGCTGTGTTTTGGTCTACTTCTGACTCTCAATCTATCTCAAATAAGGTGAGTTTTTGTATTATGGTAATGCAATATTTAACTTGTGGACTACAGTGTTTAAAAATACACCTACTAATGCAGTAGAGCAAGATAAGATAACCATTGAAAAAAATGAAATAGTGCTGTAGTTTAATTGCATGTTAACTAATTCCATTTGTCCAGCTTATGTAGGTTGTGAAGAATCCACCTCCATATTTCTTATCATGAAACTATTAAAATGTTATTTCTATGAATCTTGAATGATATGTTCAATTGAGTAATGTGTGAAAAATTGAAATGAATCCTAGACTAGTAATATTTAGGGAATACAACTTACACTGAATATATAGCAGCACTAATAACACAACATACATTTTTATAAAGGCATTCAAAAGCATAGATCTGTAGGTTGTTAGTAAACTATTGTGTTTCAAATAAATGTACCTTAAACTTAGCATCATAGTGGCAAACTTTGCTGGTTCTTTGTTATGAATAACTAAAAAGTTTATTTTGTTGAAGTTTTTTTTTAAATATGGTTGAAAATACTGGCATGACATGTCACATGGGTACAAATAATACTTTAGTAGTTTATAACTAAATTCTTTCTGGTACCAATGGCTAACCCACTTTTTGATTGTTGACTATTTAAAAAAACTTAAATAACTCAAAAGAACAAGAGAGTTCTCATTTGTTAAGTGTTTCCTGGTACTTGATAAGAGACATTTTTTAAAATTAAGATACATGTATCTTAATAAACAATTCTGACACAAAGAATATATAAAGCACTAACAGCTAATGACAACATTTGTTCCTTTTTCAGCTTTATGAACAATATAAATACACTAAACTCTCAGCCTGGGCTTGGGGGAGGCCAGGTGAGAACTGGGCGCCACCTGCTGTCAGTAGCAGATGATATAAACGTGCAAAAGTTAACTTATGGAGGTGGTAGGAATGACAACTGGCCGCCCACTCTGCTCATGAGGTTAGATGAAGAACTGATTCTACTGGCTGAGAAACTGAACATCACTGAAAGATTAGGCAACATGTGTCCCATGTATTTTAACTCCACTGAATCTGTCAGGTACTGTTTATATCTTGACACCTGCAGAATTTAACGGCAGTTAAAAATTGATCATTTAACATTTTTTTAAAATAACCGAGTTGATAAAAAAATTACAACATTGAAAATAAAGTATGAGGTTATTTAACAAGTGTTTTAAAAATGAGCTCTTAGCAAAAAATTTTTTATTAAAACCCTAAAGGTGCTAAAATTATTCTGAAACCTTAAAAGAACAGAGAATTACCAAAAAAAAATCAGTTTAGTTTTTAAAAAAAACTAATAAATAATTTATAGTTATGTTGGCAGTGCTTCACTGATGCACTTTATTTACTGATGCCAGTTGTTTATGTATTTGTTTAGGTTTGTTAGATAGTAGAATGTGAAGATAACTAGAACAGGCTTGTTTTATTGAAAGTACAGTAAAGCATCTGGAAAAATAACTTTAAACTATTATTTAATTTGTTTGTAAACTTTGTTTCAATATTAAATCCAATTTAGTTTAAGCTGAAATAATTTATTGCTTACTCCAAGTTAACCAGTTAAATTAGATGTAAAAAAAAAAACAACATAAATTGGTTTTCATAAACTTGTTTTAAAGTGCTGAAATTTAATTTGTATTTTAATTTACAGGTTAGCTGAGCAGCTCAGAGGTTGGATGATCAGTCAAGAAGAAGAGAAAAAGAAAAATAAGGAGAAGAAAAGACAAAAGAAAAAGAAAGACTACCCTCCAATCAAAAAATTTGGTACAGATTCATTTAAAAGCTATACCCAAGCTGTTAGGAACAGTGAAGTTAATGGTCCCTCGGTTAAAGGAAATAATTATCCAATCCAAATTTTTAGTGGTGCCTATGACTCAAGACAGCAACTGCTAAATGCTATCCCAAGAAGAAACGATACATTTTATGTGCTCTCTTTTAGTACTGTAAGTACTTTATAAATATTTTATTTATGATAAAATTAATGTAAACTATCAAATACTGAATTGTAATATTTTTGTGTGACGCAATACATTTTAATACTTCATGTAGGACTACTTCCTAGTACCAGCTACAGCACACAACAAGACCATGCGACCCAGAATGTCCCTTCTCATGCCAGTAGTTAACCCATCAATCAACGGTATATATTTTAAAAAATTAAATGCTCTGACATTCACTTATTCTTATTCAGGGATGGGACTCTCTAAATTTCGTTAGATTTTCAAATTTTTAAAATGTTAATTTTCAGTCCTAATTTTTCCACTAGTGTTAAAAATTAGTTTAATTTTGAGAAAAATGTATTCTTTTCCAATTTTGTGAAATTGAAAATGTTTTTAAAAAAATTTGCCTTAGAGATAAAACATTTTCTAATGAGTTTCATCTAATTTTTTTCAAAAATGCATTTTATCATATCTTAGAGAGCACTGGCCAGACACAGAACAGCATTGGCATGATGCAGATTGATTGTGAAATCCTGAACACTAATCTCATCCAAGTTCAACGTTCTGCTTTTCCTGAGGATAACTTGTTTAACTCAACAGCCTATGACAGTAATCACAAACAGAACAGCACTAACAACAATCATGAGAACAACATCCATGGCCAGAAGCAAGAGAAACAAAATAAATACTGGGATCGACTGAGGAATTCAAATAAACGATAAATTCCCACGTTAAATTTTTTAAAGACATGTTCCTGTTTATTCAACTTTGGTTTATTTTTTTAAAACTGCCCTTTTTTTTGAAAATCAGTGGATTCTTATGTTTTAAACTTGCCATTTGTTTTTTTGTTTTGGTAATCATTTTTATGACATTTGAGTTATATTGTTACAAAGTCCCATATAATTGTAAATATGTAAATAAGTCAAGGTGATAGTCGTGAAATCTACAAATTATATCTTATATTTATTATAGTGAAATAGATGTCTGTTGTGGATTTTTAAATTGACTTAACAGAACAATTAGTCGACATTGACTTATTTAATATTCTAAACTTGAGAAATCAACTGATAATTATACTGTTGTCAGTAATAGAAGTATACATTTTCTACTTTACAAGCTTTTACCTTTATTTGAACCTGTGTAAGAATACAGAGCTTTAGTTCACTTCCTAAAAAAATTTGCTGGACAAATTAGTATTTAAAACTTGTTTTATATAAACCGCAGCACAACTTTTGGAATAGCTAACAGCCTAGGATATTTTGTTAATATCTAAACAATGTGTGACAAGTATGAAGTAGATCTGTCTCACTATGTTAAATGTTTGTGATAAAATTTACTTTTCTGAGCTGATAACTGTTAGCTTATTTATTGTTTAGGCTTGTGTCTGTATCCTGACAAAGTTGTATTATTTTTAGTAATGGACATGTGTGTGATGTTTTATGTACATTTTCAAAAGAAATGTAGAACGTTTAAAGAAATCAGGAATCTCACATAGACTTGAAGCCTCATTCAGCCTTGCTGCATCATTTGTCTAAGCAACATTCCACTGTGGTAGTGTTCGCAGAACTAATTCATGTAAACCATTTATGTTCAAGTGCCCTATTGGGACCATTGGTGGTTGTAACAGGTGAATCATTTTTTTTTACTTATGAAAGACTGTTTCTATTTATCATCGTTTGGTAATGTATGTTAACGTCAGTGTAATGTTATAGATCCAAAGTAGATTTTTTTTTACTACTGAACTCAGTTAAGTATTTTATAAATGACATTTTCATGTAGTATGATGTATTCATTGAATACTCATTCATTATTTTGCTTTTCTATGCACCTAGGCTGTTTTATTATTTATCCAATTTTAAATGTTGAATGCTTTGTTATTTTAATGTGGCCACCTCCCACCATATGACATATAAACTACTTTGTGCTAGATACCATATCACTTTGTCGTGGTCAACTAGCTTAAAATGGCATATGTCAAGTGAGTTCAAAGGCAACCTATTTTATTGGGATTGCCGCTTTGAGTCGTGGTCATTTTTTTTGTGAGTTTTGGACTACAGTACTTTGTATCTGTTAAAGCCTTAGTGTTGTATAGTTAATTTAATATAACTTATTTGTGATTTGCATAAAATGAGATGACTAATGTATTTCTACAAGGTAGATAAATACTAGACCTTGGCTTAGTTTGCTTAATTGAAATAATTAGCAGTTATTTGTAAAACTAATTTCAATGCAAGTAAAAAAAAAAATTGTGTGCCAAAGTGTTGTTTTTAGAATAAACCATCTTCATTTTTTAAAAAATTTCAGTTATGAATGTTGAACATTCACTCACCCATGTGAAGTTTGTAAAAAAATTTTTAAAAAAGTGTTTGTCAGCAACTTGCATTTATCTGGTGTTTTTTCTCCAATCTTACAATGGTTACAAAGTGATCACTTTAAAGATAAATTGAAAAAATTATAGCTGTAAAATTTTAATAACTTGCTATATTTCATAAACTTCAATTGTAAATATCTAATCTAATACAACATGCATAATAAATGTACTCTTATAAACAGCATCAATCATTTGAGGATTTTGCATAAAAAATTACAGGAGAACTAAAATCTTGATGGTAAAAAAATAGATAGAAAAAGCATCATTATTTTTGGAAATAGTGTCACTGCCCTAAAATTGACTGAAGAATTTAGCAGCTCCACACAATATGCAGGGTGATGCAAAAAAATTATAACATTTATGTTCTGTCTTTCTAGTTTTAAGTCTTCAGTTTTTTTTTAAAGTGCAAAACCTTCAGTCAAGTTATCCTTCAATTTTTGTGAAACATTTTTGTGGTTCAGTATCTGTATTGTATTTTAATTGCATTTAACGTTAACTCTCAATTTTTTTTCTCCTTCATATTGTAATGCTTATGAATTTTAACTTAATAAAAACTATTTTTACAACTTTGAAAGTGTTTTGTTAATTCAGCTACAGAATTAGGGCTTATAAGTAGATCATCTTACCTATTTTTAAACTAAACATGAATATTTTTTATTAAATCTGTGAAAAAATAAAATTAACTTCTGCTATTGTAAACCTATTTAAAATTGTAAACAATGATTATGATTGCAAGATGTAGGCTAGCTTAAAGAGAAAAAAGTAAAAATTGTGATTTTTTTTTAAGAAGCATAAAGTTTATTATTATTATTTATTCAAATCCGTATCAAGTTGTCCTAAACATAGTTACAGAATTAATATAATATTTTATTATTATTAATAACCTAGGCCTACCAGTACTTTATTAGCTTATATATTAGTAAAATGTATTTTAAAATCCTGAGGCGTTGCTTTCTATTCTAGTAGAAACAAATAGCCGCCTTGTTTTTGCTATCACTATTTATTTAGTTCAAAAATGTGTATATCTCTCTGGCTAACAAGATTTTGAATTCTTAGTCTTAGTGAGAAAGAACCAGACTTAACTAAGTCGTAAGTGCTTTAAATCTTTGCTAAATAAATTGCATTATTTGTTAATCTTTTGAAAAACTTTTTAAAAATTGTTTCATGGCTGCTTGACATATTTCTGCCCCAGCTGAATGAAAATCTAATGAGATTTATGGTTCTGACTAATGCTCATGACGTGTGCTCTAGGGCTGCTGGTATAACTGGTTCACGAAATTTCGAGAGATTTTTTTTCAATTTCAGGAGAATTCCAGGAGGTTTTCCATAAAATTCCATTAAAATTCATAAGTTTTCCAGGACTTCCTAGAATTTTAGGAGGAAGCATGAACTCTGAGTTAGGTATCTGAGGTTAGTCGTCCAAGTTATAATCAGAAATTGTTTTTTTTATCCTCTCTGGTAACAGTGCCATACATGTTAATAAACCGGGAGTGATCTCCCCTAAACTTTCTCGAATATTCTTATATAATATAATAGATTGACGACAGAAGCCTGTGGTTGTATATAACACATTTATTTGGGTCTAACTACCACGATGGTAACACACAGAGAGGGCTGAAGGAAGTACACAAGGGACATCACTCAAGATAACAATATTATAAATATAACTAATACAGAAGAGTGAGTTCCCTTGACCTCACAATTATTTCAATCTATTACATCCCTTTACCCTTAGAACACAATAACACATCTCTCAATAGAACAATTGATAGTATCCTAAAATCACCAATTATATTGTAACATGAACACTATGGTAGATTACATCCTTACAAACAATGCACAATATGCTACAACATAATCAAAATACAAAACAATAATGTCAAAGTCCTTTTGACCTTTAGAATCATAGGTCTAACTTATTTGGGACTTTGATTGTCCTGCTTGACCTTCTCAGTGGCTTCTGATTTGGTGACTCAAGATTCTGACCATCTGGATTCTCTATCTCAGGAGGTCTAGGATTTAAATCATTAACTCCAGAATTTACATTTTCTGACTCTAGACAACTTGGTTCACTCATATCAACAGAACTTGGTTGTGGAACAAACTGAGTTGGTGTGAACTGATCAGACTTGGTGGGATTGACAGATTCACACTTATTATCTGCACAAGTTATTTTTAACTGGTCTGCATGTCTACGGACAATAAGTCCATCATTTGTTTTTACTTTATAAGACACAGGTCCTGTACATTGAACAATTTGACCTGGTATCCATTTTTCCTTTCTCCCATAATTTCTTAGATACACATTATCATTAACTGCAAATTCTCTTTCAATGGATGATTTGTCATGATTTACTTTTTGTGTATGTTGATGTTGGGAAACAGACCTTTGAACAGTTGGATGTAGTAGGTCAAGATGAGTTTTAATTTTCCTACCACATAGCAATTCACATGGTGCAACACCTGTTGTTATATGAGGAGTTGTGCGGTATTTGGTTAAGAACCTGTTTACTCTTTCTCTAAGAGAAAACTTGTTACCGGTATTCATTTTTACCATAGCGGTTTTGAATATGCCTACCGCTCTTTCAGCTAAACCATTCCCAGCAGGATGATAGGGGGATGTGGTTATATGCTCAATACCATTTGCCACACAAAACAGTTTAAACTCATGAGCTGTGAAACTAGGCCCATTATCTGAAACAATTTGATCTGGTAATCCATGAGTTGAAAATATTTCCTTAAGTTCTATAATGGTATCATTTGCAGTGATTGTGTTCATGATTTTAACTTCTAACCATTTAGAATGTGAATCAATAACAATTAAGAACATTTTGTTCATGAAAGGTCCTGCGAAATCTATATGTATACGTTTCCATGGTTCAATTGGCCAGTCCCAGTTTTGCAAAGGTGCTGTAGCTGGTTGATTTGAATGTTGTGCACAGCTTGAACAAAGTTTTACATATTTTTCAATATCAGCATCCATATGTGGCCACCAGAACCATGATCTTGCTAGACTCTTCATTTTGGAAGAACCAAGATGAGTATCATGTAAAGTTCTTAAAACTTCTTTTTGTAACATTTTGGGGATAATTACTCTTGATCCCCATAGTATACATCCATCTTCTAGACTTAACTCTGTTTTTCTTATTTTATATGGCTTTAAGTCCTCATTCACTGACTCTTCAGGCCAACCATTCTTACAGTACTCATATACTTTTATTAAGCACTCATCTTTTTGTGTTTCTCTTTTAACATCATTCACATTTATATTGGAGTTATCCATGATAGTGAAGAGAACAAATACATCTTCTGGTACATAGCTCAGGCTTTGGTTTTTTAAAGGTAATCTACTCAGACTATCTGCACTATTCTCAGATCCAGGTTTGTATTTCAATTCATAATTGTATGCAGTTAGTGTGATAGCCCATCTTTGAATTCTTGGTGAGGCATGCTCAGGTAGGGTTTTGTTTTCTCCAAATAAACCTAGCAATGGTTTATGATCTGTAAAGATGGTGAACTTCCTACCAAACAGAAACTTATGAAATTTCTTAACACCAATAATGATGCCTAAGCCTTCCCTATCTAACTGAGAATAATTTTTCTCAGCCTGGTTCAAAGATCTACTGGCAAAAGCAATGGGTCTGTCACCCTTCTCATCCATGTGGGACAAGACTGCTCCTACACCATCTGGTGAAGCATCACATGTCAATACAAGTCTTTTCCCTGGGTCATAGTGAGTTAGTAAGGTGTCAGCAGACAAAGCCTCTTTTGCTGTATTAAAAGCAGCTTCTTGTTGTTTACCCCAGTGCCAAGTTGCATTTTTCTGTAGCAGCTTGTACAGTGGTGATAGTTTACCAGACAGATTTCCTATGAACTTTGCATAGTAATTTATCAAGCCCAAAAAAGCTCTTAGTTGTTGGGTATTTTCAGGTTTGGGTGCTTCTTTAATGGCTTTTGTTTTCTCAGGTTGAGGTCTGATACCTTGTTTGCTCAATATATAACCAAGAAAACTAATTTCTGTCAGCATGAATTGACATTTATCTTTGTTTATCTTTAAACCTTTTTCACCAACAATTTTCAAGACTTTATCTAGTGTTTTAAGATGTTCAGTGTCATTCTTACCAGTTATGTACACATTGTCAAAGTACACACAAACATTTGGAATGTCCTTAAAAATACTGTCCATGACAGCTTGGAAAATTCCAGGGCTGGATGATATGCCAAAACATAGTCTTTCATATTGGTAGAGTCCTTTATGTGTGTTTATTGTCGTATAGACTTTTGAATCTGGATGCAGTTCTAGTTGAGTGTAAGCATGACTAAAGTCTAATTCAGTGAATTTGTCTCCTCCTGCCAAATTCAAAGAAATTTCCTCAATGTTAGGTATAGGGTACCTATTTAGCTCTATTTGTTTATTCAGTGTAGTTTTATAATTTCCACAAATTCTTATAGAACCATCCTTCTTTAACACTGGCACAATGGGTGTCGCCCAATCGGAATAGTCTACCTTCTTTATGATGCCATTAGATTCCAATCTACTTAGCTCATTTTCAATTTTATTCCTCATTGCATAAGGTGGAACTCTAGCTTTGCAGTATCTTGGATTTGTATCTTTAATGCTTAACTTCACTGTTCTATCATTTAGTAAACCTGAATTACCAAAAACACATTTATTTTCAGATATAACTTTATCTAGTGAAGTAAGACTAGATTCTTTTACATTCTTCAATGAACAAATACTCTCCCAATTTAACTTAAGATCACTTAACCAGTTCCTACCTAGTAATGGCGGTCCATTTCCTTCAACCACAAGAAGAGGAAGTTTAACACTTTGACCATTATAACTCACATGAACCATACACTCTCCTATTACCGGAACATTGTCACCAGTGTATGTTGTTAGGCACTTGTGACATGGCTGTAGAGGCACTGATCCTCCAGTGACAGCGTCAAAATCTTTCTTTGTTATGACTGTTAGAGATGCTCCAGTGTCAAGTTGGAAGCTGATGCTCTTACCGTTGATATAAACTGGTACATTGATGGGAGCATGACTTTTTGATTTCACAGAGAACAGGTTGAAATCCGGTTGCGAATCAGTTTGAGCATTTTCACAGGTAGAGTGGTTCATTGGTTGGGTTAGGTAGTCTTGGTGAGAGTTAATATAGTGCTGCCTTTGGTTGCGGTACTGTCTTGACTGGCTAGATTTAGCAACAGACGAAGACTTTGCAAAGCAGGCCTTGGCAATGTGACCTTGCTTACCGCACTTATAACAAGTTGCTAACTTGAACTTGCACCGATGAGATGCATGGGGACCCTTGCATCGATGACATTTTTGATAATTATTACTAGATTTAGATCTAGGACTTGAACGAGCAGGCTGTTTAGCATAAGTTGGAATGCTCTGATGGGGTTGATGTTTATTGACTAACCTGCTGTTTACTGCATGGATCCCTGAAGGCGTAAGAGATTTCGCCGCATCTGATGACTGCTGGAATGAAGTTGCAAGTTGTATTGCTTTTTCCAATGTTAGATCTGACTCGAGCAGCAACTTTCTTTGAATATCAGGGCTGTTTACACCTGTCACAAACTTTTCACATAGTCTGTCAGACATCGTTTCTCCAAATTCACAGAATCTACTTAAATGACGTAAAGCAGCAACATATTCTGATATTGACTCGTTTGGTTGACGAGTCCTACTGTCAAATCTAGCTCTACATAAAAACTTTGATGGTACAGGCGCATGGTGGTCTGTTAGCAATTTGCTCAGCTCGTTAAAGCTCTTGGTATCTGGACTAGCTGGTGCGCATAAGTCCTTTAGTAGCCTGAATTGTTGAGGCCCTATGACTGTTAACAAAACAGCTCTCTTTTTGGCTTCTATCGTCACGTCGTTAGCTTCTAGGTAAAAGCTTAACCTCTCTAGGTAATCTTGAATGATTTCATCATTCGCATCAAATTCTTTTATTTGGCCATACAGCGCCATAATTCTAGAAATAATTAGCTAATAAGCTCTAGCAAACCTCTTTTTTGCGTAAGTAGGTGCTCTTTCTAGTAGATGTTTATCCTTCGTCGCCAGTTATAATAGATTGACGACAGAAGCCTGTGGTTGTATATAACACATTTATTTGGGTCTAACTACCACGATGGTAACACACAGAGAGGGCTGAAGGAAGTACACAAGGGACATCACTCAAGATAACAATATTATAAATATAACTAATACAGAAGAGTGAGTTCCCTTGACCTCACAATTATTTCAATCTATTACATATAAAATAACAGGGGATGGGAACTCGGGCTATAGACATGATTTTTAATCCATTTTAAATACTTAAAGTTTTAAAAATAGAATAAAATCTCGTAGACAAATTAATTGCACACCAAGTGAACGCGAAATAAAAAGCGCATAATAGTGCGCAATATTATTATTACTTTTAAAATTTACATTAGTTTTTTGAGAAATCGGAAGTAGCGTAAAGTACTACTTCCAGTCAACTGAAATGACTCAAAATTTAATAGAAGGTAGAGAATTAGATCTTTTACTTACGTATGAAATTTCATTTATCTATCTGAAATAGTACTCAAGTTATAGGCTTTTGAAAAATTCAAAGTAGGAAAAGTACCACTTCCGGTTATCGGAAATCGCTCAAAAGTTGATACGGATCTACGATTTTGATTAACAACTTATATATGAAATTTCATCAACCTAGCTGTAACGGTACTCAAGTTATCGTGTTTACACACGGACACACACACACAGACATACGGACAAGATTGCAAAATTATGTTTTTCCGTATCAGTGAGATGCAAAACGTCGAGATTTGCAAAAATCTCGATTTTTTTTTTTGCACGATTACAAGACTTTCTCTATACTTCGTATATACGAGAAAGTAAAAAGGGAAGCCAGCTCTTGTGTTATTTTCATGTCTTAATCCACACCTCTAATGAACACAAGCAGTTGAGAGGTGGAACAGCTGTCCAGCGACTCATCCAATCAATTGCAATTGAAAAATGGCGAGAGTTGCATTTTTCACTAATTCAGTCAGAATGTTTTCACCAATGTCTGCAACACGGCTAGCATTTGCACCCAAATCTACTTTTTCAAAATGTTTTGAATTTTCAGAGCCAACCCCCAAAATATTTTTTTTTCGTGGACAAAAAGATCACAGGCCGGATGAGAGGCTTAAAGTTTGGATACCCCTGCTTTAAGTCATTGATCTGCTATATTTCCAGAACAGTTCTATTGAAACCTAAAAATTGTTAGATCTAGAATAATATTCCATCACTGCAATGGAGGCGAGCGAGTTGACGAGATTCCTTCAATAGTATTGTTGACATGGAATAAAAACGTGCTTTTTAGATTTAGATCGTAAACAAAATAAAAAATAAAAACTTAAGCCTAAAATTAATTTAGAAATTTTATATTTTTAGAATAAATGCTATAAAAGTTGCAAATCCAGAGAACTTGAAAATAATTTGTTGAGTTTAAGGCTACATTTCTATTTATTTTCATCAAGCCTAAGTTATAACCGGTTGTTTCACTTTCGTAAGACAAATATTGATTGGCTGTACAGTAACTTAGTGATCGATAACTATTTGTTTACAAAACTTTGCAGATCAAGTTTTTAAATAACCATGCAAATTTAAAACCCCATGACCTAGTTTTCTATTTTTAGCTTACAATGTGTACAATAAAATCAATGGCGGCCTATCCAATAGCAGGATGCCATTGTTTATGTCGCCATTACACGTGAAAACCAAATTGTTTTTGCTTTTTTTTTAATTTTTATTTAGTTACCGAAAATATTATAAACATCAAATACATCCAATCTTTAGTAAAGTCCGAAAAAAAACCAGACAGACAGGATTTTATAACCATATTAATTGTAACTACGCCGTGCCTGATTTTTAAACTAATTTATACACCTCTCAAATACCTTTGAGAGTTTTCTCGCTCGTGTCCATTGATAAAGCAGTCATTCGGTTATCTTCATGTACCAGTAATAAGTTTTGTACCTGTACCTTGTTCTTAATTTGTCACTAGATGTCTTTACACCTACAATGAACTAAGGATACAACAGCCTAAAATTCTCTTTTAGGTCATTAGTATTCTGTAATAAACCCTGTCTAGCCTAGTCCATGACTGATAGAATAGAGACAGTTCATTAATTGGCAAAATTGATTTTTTTAATAAATTTTTTGATGCATCAATACAATTTCTGAATCTAGCAACTTAAGCTTTTTTTTATAATCTTTCAGCTTTTTAGTTCAATAGCTGATAGTACTATTGTGCCAATGAACAGAGGGATTCAATTTGGCAATAGTTGAAAATCTCTTTAAAATGCATGAAAAATAGTACATTGTAACCGGTCACAGAAACTCTAAATCCAATGCATCAAATCATTAACAAAATAGACAAGTGCTATTACTTTCACCATTCATGTGCCTGCTGGCCATAGACTGGATTATAAAGATGTCAACAGAGAAAAAGCAAATCAGTATACAGTGGCGCCAGCTGGATGACCTGGACTTTGCTGAAGACAGGCCCTTCTTTCACACACACAAAATAAAACCAACAATGTTGCTAATTTTTCTACATGCCTGGGCGTGAACATCCAGAGGTAAAAGTAAAGTTCTCAAAGCAGCCCCCCTATTACATTGGCAGAGGGGGACAGATTCACCTACATTGGAAGTACTGTTGATAAGCATGACAGGACTGAATCAGACAAAAATAAGGGCAGGCAAGAGCAGCCTTCAACCGATACGGTTAGGGTTCTGGAGATTTAACCCTTGAAATAAAAACCCGGTACTTCAACACACTAGTGAAACCTGTTTTACTCTACCAAGCAGAGTCATAGAGAACTGCTATAAATAAGAAAAAATAATTTATAAACTCATGCCTCAGAAAGATCCTGCGAACATAGCAAGACAGGCCCTCACCTAGAATCTACAGGGCAGGATAGGCAGACCAAGAAAGACCTGACCTAGAAGAAGACCAGAAACACATGGGGACAGTTGGATAGACTTGCCCAGGAAAGCGACGCCTGTCCCAGGAGGTGCAAACCTAACAAGTGCTATAATTTTGATTTCTTGGATTCAGAAGTTCCTTCACTTTCACCATGAGCAAACACCAGTTCTATTAGCAAAAAGTCCTATTCTTAATAGTGCATAAGAGCAACATACAAAGCTATTTGAATAAAATAATGCTGATAAAGATTCCCAAGTTTAGCCATGAAAAGATAAAGTACTTGTGATTCCAACAGACTTAAGAACAAAATACATTTTTTAAATAGCCTTTATTTCCAGTGCATATTGTACAATGTAAACACCCTCTAAGATTACTTCTTCTTGGCAACACCCACAGTTCTGCCTCTGCGACCAGTAGTTTTAGTGTGTTGGCCTCTAACACGTAGGCTAAAAGGATTTAAAAAAAAAAAAATTAGAAGAAAAAAAGCAATGAAATGTATATGTAAACACCTATATAATTCAGTAAGCATTATATAACTGTGGTCCTCATCTGACCCTCTAGTCTTAAAGAAAACTACAAGTGTGAAGGAAGACCCAATTATTGTAGCTGTACAGACAATCCTCTTAACATATCTAAGAGAATATATTATATAATACAGCAGTGGGTTAAAATTACCCAACAAGAAATAATTTGAACTTGTTAAGTTGCCATTAAAAGCTCACCCCCAATAATGTCTAAGACCTCTATGAGCACGGATTTTCTTTAATCTCTCAAGATCCTCACGAAGTTTGTTGTCAAGACCGTTGCTGAGAACTTGGGTAAAGCGACCATCTTTAATATCCTTCTGCCTGTTAAGAAACCAGTCAGGGATCTTGTACTGTCTTGGATTTGTCATAACCGTGACAATGCGTTCAACCTAAAACAAAAGTAAATTGGCAACTGTTAGATTCTAAAAGATGTGAGCACTTCTGAGGGGTCAGCAGCAAAACTTATTTTACAATTATGTATATTTTGAAAGGTTCATGAAACAACCACAAAAAATTAAGTTTAATTACCTCTTCTTCTGTCAACTCTCCAGCTCTTTTCCTGATGTCAACATTGGCCTTTTTGCACACAACGGTAGCAAATCTGCGACCAACTCCCTAAAATAAAGTTATAATAAAAATAAGACTTTAGTGAGAGCAGCCGCGCCGTAACTATACAGGTAACTGAAAACATTCACACTTAACCATAGCTACTATTTACAGAAAATATGCTTGCTTTGATATAAAATTGGCCGATGCTAGCCGGAATAAGATAAGCTTGCGCAATGGAAACTACGACTTGCCTTCGCGGCGATGTTTTTGATGGTACTGCGCATGCGTGTGTTTACAACTGCAGAACCCTAACACCAACCCCAATCCTATCCCTAGGTCACTGCGCATATGCAGAGCTATCTTTTACCGACTTAGTGGAGACGGGGAGAAAAATCTTCTGAGTAGTCACTTTGTAAAAAGTCAGTTTTATGAAAAAATCCCAATCTACTTACTCTAATTGAAGTAATGGCAAAAGATATTTTCCTTCTACCATCAATGTTCGTGTTCATAACACGAAGAATGTGCTGAAACTTCTCTGGTAAAACAAGAGACTGAAATTAAAAAATAGTTATTCATTTTCACTCGTATGGTCAATTCTTTTGAGTTAACACAGAAACGTCACCTACAATAATGAACAAATTAATTAGCCAACAATAAATACGGATAGATATCTAAATGCAATAACACAGAAATTATAATAGCCTACATTGGTCGAAATTTAAATTTTAAAACAATCACAGATAGGCCTAATGTCAGATATGCTTAACATAAGGAGCTGACTCAATTAAGAACATAAATAATGAATTAAATCTTTAGACAAACCATTTATTTTTTTAAATAAGATGTGATATAAGTGGATTTATAACTAAAGTGAACTAATACACCGATTTAAAATAATATAATTTCTACTTTCCCCCTACCATTTTTAGCTCTTAGCACGAAAAGGAAGTTACATTCCGGAAACGCAAGTATCTTACTTTAAATCTTTGGACTGGATAAAACTCTAGGCCTAATAAGATATTTTGACAACAATTAAAGTTTGAATGTTTTAAACTGTTATTTTATTAAGTTACAATAATTTATTTTATTGTTTTATACATATTACAAGTTTTCTTATAGATCTAGATCAATAAAATTTAGTAAATAAATTTAAATATGATTATCATCTTATCCATATTTTAATTCTGGATTTAATAACAACCAAAACAAAAATGATGGCCGACTTGACAGACGTGTCCACAACAAACTATGATAATGTAAGGGATGATACACACATTACATTGCAATCAACAGTAGGACATATTTCACACACCACCCCACTTTTTAAAAGCAATTATTTAATAATAGGGTAAAACAGGGCACTAGGCACCGTGTGGTATTATTAGGAATATTGGTAATCTATCGTTTTGGGTACGTAAAATCGCCCGCGGCTATTTATGTACGAAACCGAAAACGTTACCTCATTGTCAAGGCTTTAATAGAAGTATATTGTCATACTTGTGTGTCAAATATTATAGATAAATGAATAATAAACCTAAATCAATGGCTAAATATATCGATACAGGCCAGAAATTAACTTTAAACAGCAGTGTCTGAGAGCAAGATTTGCTATATAAACAGCAGCCATTTGTAAAATAGAGTGGCTTCCCCCTGAATCTGGCGCTAAAAGCTTATAAATATAAAACTTAGACAAGATGGCTGCTATAGTAAATGAGCATGGTTGCATCTGTTGGAAACATCGCTAGTCTTCATTTATTACGGAAAAGTTTTAATTCAATTGTTTAAAAACAGGTACATAAATGAATCAAGGAAACATTTTTGAATTTTTTAAAACATAAATCTTCCTCAAAATGTGAAATAATTATTAAAATTTAAGGAGTCACCTGTTTTTCACATTACAAATCGCGGGCGATTTTACGTACCCAAAACGATAGATTACCGGAATATTTGGCCCCAGTCCAGTGTCGAGTGAACCCACCTCAGCCACCTCCACAAAAAATTCAAAACCCCCACATCTGAAATAACAAGTTACAACCATTGCTGTTCCTTGATTACAGACAAGTAGAGTAGAGGATTTATCTTATGTAGTTAACTTAAGACTCACATGGCTCAGCAGGGAGAAGATGAAACAGTAAATTAAAATTTACCCCAATGCCCTTTCCTCAAAAATTCTCCCCTCCAAAAGTATGATAAAATTAAAACAAAACGGTAATCTAATGTTTTAGGTAGATCTATGTAAAATTGGTGGCTCATTATTATGGCTTTAATACAAGTATATATTGTGATATATATTATTATATTAGGGTTGTCGGTATCGGCCGAGATCGCGGTAAAAACATGACCCAAAATCGCCCATTACTTTCTGATACCGGGCGCACGAGATTTGGTTTTGCATACTAATAAGTTTTTAATTTATGGTAATTAATTAAGTTTAAAAGGTCATTTCCTAATGTTAAATGAAAAGTAGAATGGTTTTCCCATTGTTTTGATGGGTTAGCGATCTGATCGCACGCTGTCTCTGCTTTGGTCTTCCCCCTGTATGAAGGCTAGTTTCAAATACGTTGGAATCACGATTTTTTAAAAGATTATTCTAGGTGAGAGTAGATTACTGATCAGACATATCTTAAGTATGTGGAAATGAAATTTGTTTTTGGATATTTTGACTCCAACATTAGTTATACTGCTCCGAACGTAGTCACTGTATGTAGGTCACGCTGCCACCATTGTTATATTTTTTCATCCCAATCTTCCGGCCTTTAAGTTTGATCAACTAATAACAGCATTCTTATGGCATGTGCAAACAAATCTCCTAATTTTTTTATTTCAAAATATATTTACATACCCATCTTTAATTTTTTCAGCTCTAGTTCTAGTTTTGCAGAATATGTTTTTCCTAAAATCCAATTTTGTCAGACTAGACTGACAAGAGTCAGACCTAGATCTAGGTTACCTGTCTGTTGCTATACACTAGCATTGTGCTAACTGTAATTTTAAGTATTCAAGTTCTACTTACCCTTAGATATAGTTATATGCTGAAAATCAGAATCCATACACAATTCACACATAAAAACATTGATCTGATAACTTCAAATTTTATTACAAAATGGCTTTTATATGGACTCTACTTCACCTGCCCAAAATAACAAGGCAGTTATAGACACATTACAGTGTTCAAGTCATTTACTTTAGATTTCTGACTATGGAGTTCTTTCATTCACTGTATTTATATAAAATATTGCTTTAGAAACATTTTCATATTTGCGCAGCAGTTTTATAACAAAATGGCTTAAAGATGGACTCTACTTCACCTGCCCAAAATAATGAGGCAATTATATGCACATAACAGTGTTCAAGTCATTTACTTTAGATTTCTAACTTTGTAGTTCTTTCATTTGCTGTATTTATATAAAATATGGCTTTAGAAATATTTTCATATTTGCGCAGCACACAGTTTTTTGGGGTTATGGGAGGAAGCCAACACAAAAATATAAGTTCTGTATTATTTTTATTCATTTCAACAGCATTTACAAGTTCTATATATCATTCTAGTTAAACTCTGCAAATATAAACAAAATACAACTGCAAGTAAAATAACTATGTTCAATTTATTCAGGTATACCATCACTTGTCACAATTGGCCAATGCATTCCACCCCTCACACAAAAATTCGCTAAAAAAAAACTATTTGAGCTAGACAGAAAATCTTTTTTGTTTTGTTTTCATATAGTTGAGCTCTACAAGAATATGTAATTTTTATTTTTATATTATGATTAGTGTTTTTTTACCAAAATCCCTAATTATATCTGTGTCAAATATATTACATAGCCTAATAGTCAATAATAGGTAGGCTTTTCGATTTGCCGCCATCTTGCGATCCAAACTACATCCGGACTGTTTCAAGCGTACTTGAAAAAATTCGCCGTTCCGATGAATGCTAATTCTAGGCATCAGAATCGAAAAGTTATATATATTCGATACTATCATATGCGTTGAATTTTATCATTTAAATGTTTCATTGATAGAAGTAGCTGTCATTTTACAATACTCGATACTGAAAGCGACCTAACGATGATAGCGAAAATCGATCGAAACCGCGCAGTACCGAACCGCTACTTTCAGAACTAAATTTCGGCTTTAAAAAAAGAGAATAAGTACAGGAAACTAGTAAATAAGTAAATGCAAACCATTTTGATGGATGGAAATGTTGGTTTTATGGGCTTTAGAGCTCCTTATATATGAGATATTGCTCCTTGCGTGAAGTGATATAGATCTACGCAATTTTAATAATGGCGGCCGAGTTAGAATTTTCATGACGGCCCATGGGCATGAAATAAAAAATTCGCACATTATTGCTATTTAACAGTGTTTATTGAATTGGCAAGATCTAAGCTTATAAAATAGCTTTTTTATGGATTAAATAAAATTTAAAGCATTGGAATTAATAGTCCCATTCATTAATAGACTCAATAGGGTAAATAATAATTAAAATTTTAAATAGGTCCTAGATTCATCTAGATCTAAATAAATATTGCTCTCCAGTCTAAACAAATTCCATTTAAATTTTAAACTTTTTATTAGTAGTCTATATTTATCAAATAGTCTAGAAATAATAGTTAAAGTATAGTACTACAGTATAGAGGCAATGGAAATTTAAAAAAAAAAAAGTCAAAGATAAAATAGGAACTTTTAACAAATTTTTTTAAAAGTAAAAAAGAAAACAAAAACAGTAACACTTTCAACAATGTGATTTAATTTTACTTAAAAATAACAAACTAAACAACAGTAATGTTTTTTATATAGAATCTAGTAGGTTCAGATCAGCAAATAAGGCATCACTAATGTTTATTTAGTACTGAAATGTTTAAATAGTATTTAAACATTTCAGTAATAAATAAACATTAACTATGAGAAATACAATTGTTTAAAAACAGCTACATGAATGAAACTTTGAAACATTTTTGTAACTTTCAAAACATAAATCCTCCTACAAATGTGAAATAATTACTAAAACTTAATGAGTCACCTTTTTTTCACATTACTAGCCTCGCAGATTTACAGACCTAAAATGATAGATTACCATCAGAACAATTTGCTCCATTTGGCATTCTGAGAACTTTTTTCCTAATAAAATATATTTTAACACCCTTTTTAATTTTATAACTCTAGATATAGTCAGAATACTTTGATTTATTTTAGTGACATCTTTAAAATCTAATACTACTAAAAGTCAAGTTTGTTTACATGTTTGAATATTTATTTGTTTTTTTGTTTGTTTTTTTGTTTGCCTGATTGACTATCTCGCATGGTTGCACTCATCGTGGAAAGCTGTAAAATAGTATGTAGGTAGAGAAAAATTTTTGTTTTAAGACAGACTGTTAATCACACATTTATTAAAAGACGTTAATTAATTTATTGATTTATTCATACGCAGAGTAACCCTATTTTTTTTAAAAGTGTAGAACGATAACTACACTCGGCGGGACCGTGACGTCACAGTTTTTTGTTTACTCTTTAGTACAATAAAATGGCGGCGTCTATCGAAGAAAATTGTGTTCCCATTCAAAAGTTTAACGCGTTCTAAATCTAATTTTCTGTCGGTCATAACTTTAACAATACGTCCGTTTGCTGTATTTATTACGTTCAAACACTTATATCAATTTTCAACTGCCTTTTTATTTAGTTTTACAATAAATTTCTCTATATCTAAAGATCAGCTGTCGAAGGAAAGTTATTTATAGATCTAGATCTAGAATCTAGAATCTAGGTCAAATCAACGATTTATTAGTTATAGATCTAGATCTAAATACAATCCAAAAAAAAACGAGACTTAAGCAAACCAGTCGTAGATCTAGAATATAGATAATTCTATCTAGATTTAGATAAATAATTTGTTTCTATATGCTAAACTATTTTAGACCTTTATTATTTTATATAAATCTTTCTTTGTTTAGCTATGAAATATGCTAATTAGGAAGTGCTTGCTCCAGGGCCTATTTGCATAACTTAAGATTCATACGCGGCTTCTATACCGCTAAGTGTGCAAAATTATAGACGTAAACTCTAGATATAGCTCAGTCGTAGATATAGAATATAGATAATTCTATCTAGATTTAGATAATAATGAGTTTCTATATACTAAACTATTTTAGACATTTATTATTTTATATAAATGTTTGTTTGGAATATGGTAATTTTGAAATGCTTGCTCCGGGCCTGTAAGCGTAGCTAATGATTAGATCTAGATCTAGATTCTAGATCTAGCAAGAAAAACTAAACTTTAGACTTAAGAAAACGAGTCGTAGAATATAAATCTAGATCTAGATAGAATTATCTAGATAATTTCAAACATTCTTTATTTTATATAAATGTTTGTTTGGCTAATTTAAGATAAAATTTAATTTGAAAGTTACTACTACTAGACTTAGTTGCATAAGGAGACTCAGAGTATAGTATAAAAATTCACTTGTGACGTCACGAGTAAATAGCTAAGGTGGTAGCGTAGTCGGCTCTCATGTGGGTGGCACGGGTTCTAGACCAATATGTCAATGATATTTTTTTTTTCAATTTTTTTTTTTTAGATGTGAATGATAAAGTTGCCTATCTGAACTTGGCAAGATACAGGGCAGGTGAAGTAGAGTTCATCTGTTTCTTTGTCCTAAGCATATGAAAGGATAGTGTGGTCAGAGACATGCTCGGCTGGAATAGTTTTTTAAACGATAAATACATGTTGTCTGAGACTTGGCGGGACATTGGGCAGGTGAAGTAGAGTTGAGTAGGTCACATGTGACGTCAGTATATGAAGGGATAGTCCGAAATCGGTGTTTTCGGTGTTTTTAAAAGATAAAAAACATATTTTTGAATGTGGGGTCTGTTTTTTGTGACGATAAGTGACACTGCAGTAGCGTAGCGAGGAGGGGGGGGGGGGGACGGTAGGGGAGGGGAGGCGGGGGGTGGGAAGGGGAGGCGGGGGGAGGTGGATGGGGGAAGGGGGGGGGCGGGGGGGGGACATATGTTGGGGCGCCAAAATGGTTTGGAAAAATAAATTGAAAGGTTGAGGGGGGTTCAAATCGAAAGTTTGTCCCCGGGCGCCGGGAAGGGTCGCTATGCCTCTGAGTGGCAGACGTGATGTTTTTTGATGGATGACCCCCGAAACCCACAGTTATCCAACGGATGACGGGTATTCTAGTTAAAATTAAAATTCCCAAACTAGGAACATAGGTTTATTAAAATAGTGCAAACATTAGGTAAGGTTAGAAGAACACAACTGAAATTGAATTAATGATACAATATGAGTGAATTTTTTAGTTAAATACGCCAAGCTGTAATTTATCTGGCTGGATAAACATTCGCTGTCAGTTTTGTCAGCTGTTCTTTTGCACATAAAATATGAATTGAACGATTTTTAAGCCACACATGTAAAAGAAATGCCCTTACAGTTTTGGCACCATTTACCAAATTTTCGGCACTGGAACTCTTCATTTATCTAACATTCTCATAATTAATTGATTCACTTAAAAAAAGATATTTTTTCTTAGTCAGCAGATATCAATCTTCACCTTGGAGAGTTGGATTTTACTTCAGACTTCCTGTTTGATGAAGTAGATGGTGAATATCTTTTAAAAATTCTTAAACTCATTTTTTTCCAACTATGACTACTTTTTTATCCTAAGAATTACTTTGATAATCTTTTAGTACAATTGGTATTAGGTAAAAAAAAGCAACAAGAGGATTATTATCTTCTTAACAGTTTTATAAAAAGAATAAAACATCTGTAGGGTATAAAATAAAAGAAGAAAAAACATATTATATTATATTTACAAAATGAATGATCGTTATAGTAATATATTTTTATTATGTGTGCATTTCCACAGTTCATATACAGGAAAATTTGGAAGATGATATTGTAAAGGAAGCTTTAAAAAAGGTAGACGAATTTAGTTAAAAACCTCTCTATAATGTAATTGGTTTAAAGATAACTTGGAGTGTTCATATACACTCTGTTTATTATTGCACTGGACTAGATGAATAACAATAACAAGCTGTTTTTTTAATTGTTTTGAAGCTTGAGCTAATGTTAGGTTCAAAACAACTACTAAAAAGTATGTCTTGTGTTTCAGGGTGTTGACTTGCGTCAGTATTCAAAAGAAATAGAAAGGGATCTGCTGAAAGTAGAAAATGAATCTGTGCAAGATTGTATCCTTTTTATTAGACTAGTTTGGTTCTGATATTTCTTACCAATCTTATTTCATCAAGCGCAGTTTTAGCCACACATATTAAACATCTGTCTTTAAATCTTAATAAGCTGCAACAAAAGCTAGTTTTGTCTAGAACTCATCGAACTGAATTGGAAATTGATTGAAATAGTATTCTATGGCTAAATTCTAAAAGTATAATCATCATGGTTTATGTAAGGAACTTTGTGGTCAGTAGTATATTGCCTACCAGCATTTAGTCTACCTACCCATCAGGGTGTGTGCATATATATATATATATATATATATATATATATATATATATATATATATATATATATATATATATAGGTAGCTCATACTCTGCTTCTTCTGAACAATTGTCACCACTGCATTCCTTCTAAACCAACCTGCCTCACATGTTTCAACCAGTTGACATTAAATTTTAGTCTTGTTATGTTTCTATTTTTTTAGATTTTGTTCATGGATATTTTTAAAATATGTATTTCCTTACAATCTTTATAAGATATTAAAGAAAGTAAAAATATTGCCAGCTTACACAAACAGATAGCAGCATGTGACACCATTCTTGAGGTATGGTTGACTTAAACCTTTTAAAAAAAAATACTATGCTAATAAGTTTAGAATGTAGTTAATTTTTCTACAATCTTATCTGGCAATAGAGAATGGAGCAGATGTTAAATGGATTCCAGGGAGATTTGAGCAGTATAAGCACTGAAATTCAATCCCTCCAGAATCAGTCAATCGCCATGAATGTCAAGTTGAAAAATAGACAGGTAAGTTCTTTAACTTTAATCATTTCATTTAAGGAGTAAGTTTTTCTTTTTGAACTAGACTTTAATGAAATAATAATTTTAAAAAAGTTATTTTAAAAACAATCTTAATAATAAATCCATTGTTTAAATGAAGAGTATGTTGTTTACATGAAATGAAATTATAAGTATACTTGAGATTTTTGCGGCCCAGAATATCTTTAAATATGTCACACACAGGCAATACGTGGTGAATTGAGTCAGTATGTTGATGAAATGGTTATTCCTGAGAATATGATTAAGTAAGTAACCAAAAGCTTGTTAAAAAACTTTTAAAAAAAATTAAAATAATGCAAAGTAGAGTACCATCATTTTTATTGATGGTATTAGCTTTGAATCACATTTAATTATAGTTTGATTTTAACAGATTAGATAAAGATTCAGATATTCGTTAACATTTTCTATTTAATTTTGGTGTTGTTTTGATTATGAATAGGTCGATCCTTGAAAGTCCCGTGACAGAGGATGACTTTAAAGAACAGCTTCATGAGCTGAACCACAAGATTAACTTTGTGAAAGAGCAATCCTTCAGGGATGCTAGGGCTTGTGTTGATGTTAAAGATATTTTAGAAAAGCTGAAGATAAAGGTACAGCTCAGCATAAATGTGTTAGCTACCAACCTTTGTTTTATTTCATTTTTATTTATCAATTGTCCTCTCCTCTAAAAAAATGTTCATTTCAATTTTTAAATATAGAATAAGTAGTATTTTCTACTTTTTAAAATATCATATATTTTACTTTTTTAGATTCTTTTCTAGTACTGTAAAATCATATGTAATTTTTATTTATTTCTAGGCTATAGCAAAGATTCGTGAGTTTTTGCTTCAGAAAATTTATGCATTCAGGAAGCCTATGACAAATTACCAAATTCCACAGAATACATTACTCAAATTTAGGTGATTGATTATTTTATTTTTGTTTTTTAGCCTTTATAAACATTAAAATGTTAGCAGTTGTTAAAAATTGTATACCTTTTAAACATATGCAGCTATTCTCAATTTATTTATTTATTTCAGAATCTTTAATGAATTTTTAATGGCCAATGAAAGACATGTTGCCAAGGAAGTGCGGGATGAGTATGTGGACACCATGAGCAAGCTTTACTATTCTTATTTCAAAGGCTACTCTAGTCGACTGACCAAGTTGCAGGTATTTTCATCTAGCTTGATTTTACTATTCATTTTATATCAACTTTTTAAGCAAATATCGCTACAGTCTGATAGCTGTAAAGTTTTAGGTTTCTCCACTTAAATTTTTCTTGGCTGTTCTCATTCATTCTGTTTCTTGGCATATCATTGTACAGTATGCCAGATTTTTATAAAAAGTCATGTTTCTCATTAATTTTTCTGTCTTAACTTGAAGCTATAATGTATAATTTGTAAATATTTACATATGTGGGTAGTTGACTAAACTTAGTTGTGGCATTTTAAAAAAATATATAAATTATTGTTTATGAATATTATTGAACACTTTTCATTACTTTTTTCATTACTTTATTTGTAAACATTCTTTTAAAAAATTAAATGTAAAGTACCCTTTTCAATCTTATGGTGAAATAGAGTTCACCTGTTTCTGTCACCAAAGGATAGTGTGATTATCACTCTACCCAGCTGCTTTTTCTTTCCCCAAAGTCAGTTAGGTACTGATCAGAGCTGGGTGGACTCAGGGACATTCTACTGACACGAATCCAGGATTCAAACTCGAGACTTTTGGGTCAGAAGTCATATGCTCTACCATCCGACCACGCTGTTCCACTTATTTTTTATGTACACATTAAAAAAAGGAAGAAGTTTTTGTAAAGTCATTGCTTATATAAACATGATTGCTGCATATCATTGAATTTTGTACATTTTAGAATTGTCAACAGTTTATTTTTAAAAAATTTACAATAACTAGAAGACAGTTAAAATTATGTAAAACTTAGACATCAATTTGAACAAAATATTCCCCTCATTTAATTAACCACCTTTAATCGCACAAAGTCACACATAAGAATTTACATTAATTCAATCTAAGCCAGTTGATTACACTTTGCCTTTGCTGCCTTCCTGGTTATTTTTTTATAGTAACACATTGATAAAGTATTCTTAAACGCCATGTCTACTGTGGCGTAATCTCTTCCATTAGTGACCCCATTCATTTGTTACATACATAATATTTTTAACACTACCACAATATCAAATCAAGGTGAGGGATGGGTTATGTTTTTTTTAAGTTATAAAGAGACTTTATTGACAGCTGTTGCTTAAAATTTTTGCAATGAATTGTAAATATATCCTCATTGGAAAATTTCTGTAATGAATTGTAAAAATTATCCCCTTCGTAAAATCACTGTAGTGAATTGTGAAATAAATCCTCAGCTATTTTCTATCACTCTTTATATGCCAAATGTATAAACAATCATTTATGAAATAGTGTTTAAGAAATACCACAAGTTCTTATGGCTAATATATACACTCTACCATTCACATAAAAATGTCAACCCTACATGTGTTAAGATTGTAAGTATCCACTGTTGAGGTATAGTTTATTCCCTGAATGTAGTTTGCTTGAACATTGACCAAGTCTAATTTTTGTTGGTGTAGTTATTAGTCTTGTAGTGTTGGTTGTAACTGCACCATGGAACTGCTTGATTTTTTTGTGATGGAGCAAGTTGATGTTGTTGCATCGTAGAAATTTGAAATTGTTGTGGTGGGAAAAGTTGATTAAGTTGTGGTAGAGCAAGTTCATTTAGTTGTGGTGGAGCAGGTTGATTTAGTTGTGGTGGAAAAATTGATTTAGTTGTGGTGGGAAAAATTGATTTAGTTGTGGTAGAGCAAGTTCATTTAGTTGTGGTGGAGCAAGTTGATTTAGTTGTGGTGGAGCAGGTTGATTTAGTTGTGGTAGAGCAAGTTCATTTAGTTGTGGTGGAGCAAGTTAATATAGTTGTGATGGAAAGGTTGATTTAGTTGTGGTGTAGCAGGTTGATTTAGTTGTGGTGGAGCAGGTTGATTTAGTTGTGGTGGAAAAATTGATTTAGTTGTGGTGGAACAGGTTTATTTAGTTGTGGTGGAGCAAGTTGATTTAGTTGTGGTGGAGCAGGTTGATTTAGTTGTGGTGGAGCAAGATGATTTAGTTGTGGTGGAGCAGGTTGATTTAGTTGTGGTGGATCAGGTTGATTTAGTTGTGGTGGAGCAGGTTGATTTAGTTGTGGTGGAGCAAGTTGATTTAGTTGTGGTGGATCAGGTTGATTTAGTTCTGGTGGAGCAGGTTGATTTAGTTGTGGTGGAGCAGGTTGATTTAGTTGTGGTGCAGCAGGTTGATTTAGTTCTGGTGGAGCAGGTTGATTTAGTTGTGGTGGATCAGGTTGATTTAGTTGTGGTGGAGCAGGTTGATTTAGTTGTGGTGGAGCAAGTTGATTTAGTTGTGGTGGAGCAGGTTGATTTAGTTGTGGTGCAGAAGGTTGATTTAGTTCTGGTGGAGCAGGTTGATTTAGTTGTGGTGGATCAGGTTGATTTAGTTGTGGTGGAGCAGGTTGATTTAGTTGTGGTGGAGCAGGTTGATTTAGTTGTGGTGGAGCAAGTTGATTTAGTTGTGGTGGAGCAGGTTGATTTAGTTGTGGTGGAGCAAGAGGATTTAGTTGTGGTGGAGCAAGTTGATTTAGTTGTGGTGGAGCAAGTTGATTTAGTTGTGGTGGAGCAGGTTGATTTAGTTGTGGTGCAGCAGGTTGATTTAGTTCTGGTGGAGCAGGTTGATTTAGTTGTGGTGGATCAGGTTGATTTAGTTGTGGTGGAGCAGGTTGATTTAGTTGTGGTGGAGCAAGTTGATTTAGTTGTGGTGGAGCAGGTTGATTTAGTTGTGGTGCAGCAGGTTGATTTAGTTGTGGTGGAGCAGGTTGATTTAGTTGTGGTGGATCAGGTTGATTTAGTTGTGGTGGAGCAGGTTGATTTAGTTGTGGTGGAGCAGGTTGATTTAGTTGTGGTGGAGCAAGTTGATTTAGTTGTGGTGGAGCAGGTTGATTTAGTTGTGGTGGAGCAAGAGGATTTACTTGTGGTGGAGCAAGTTGATTTAGTTGTGGTGGAGCAAGTTGATTTAGTTGTGGTGGAGCAAGTTGATTTAGTTGTGGTGGAGCAAGTTGATTTAGTTGTGGTGGAGCAGATTGATTTAGTTGTGGTGGATCAGGTTGATTTAGTTGTGGTGGAGCAGGTTGATTTAGTTGTGGTGGAGCAGGTTGATTTAGTTGTGGTGGAGCAGGTTGATTTAGTTGTGGTGGAGCAGGTTGATTTAGTTGTGGTGGAGCAGGTTGATTTAGTTGTGGTGGAGCAGGTTGATTTAGTTGTGGTGGATCAGGTTGATTTAGTTGTGGTGGAGCAAGTTGATTTAGTTGTGGTGGAGCAAGTTGATTTAGTTGTGGTAGAGCAAGTTGATTTAGTTGTGGTGGGAAAAGTTGATTTAGTCGTGTCGGGGCAAGTTAATGCTGTATTGAATGAATTTGAAGCTGTTGTGATGGAGCAAGTTGATTATGTTGTAAAAATCCTCCCCCCTGCTAATACAGTAACATTGTGCTGCTACTCACATGTTGTTTACAGAACTTACACTTTAAAAAAATAACAGCATTGGTGGTTGCTGGAACAAACATCACACTATTAACAACACATTTTCTTACAAGTATTTTATACTTCATCAACATGTATTAACACAGAACAGGTTTTGACATGAGGGTTAATGTTAAGTGGCCTAGCCAAAGGGGTGTGGTCAAGTATGACACCAAACCAAAAATGCTAAATTGTTGGTGAAAGGTGGCTTACCCCTAGCAGAATTTGAAATATTGTATATCTATGTGGTGGGAGGCAAAATCAACAATTAGCCTAAATTTCTACTATGCTAAAATCAACATTTTTACATTTCTGCAGAGTTGCAGGGGGGATAGAGTTTAGGCAACTCAATAAAATTCTTTAAATACATTTAGTGGGGAGCATTGTGGCCCAACTAGAACTCATACCTGGCATCTCTGCTGTCTAGCTGGCTTGTAACATTTAAATCTATGACATTGAATTCATTGCTGTGTCACCTTGCTACATCTTTATTACTCGAACTGTTGTTGGCTGTGTATTGTACTGTATGTAACACAAATCAGATTATTCATAACCTTGTATACTTTTAACTAAGAATATTCATTTATTTTCAAATTTCATCCCAGCAGTGAATTGACTTTTGTATTTTATAACTCATTATGTTGATGAATCACATGCATACAACAATCAAATCACTTGGTTAAAAAAATAGTGCTGAAAGCTTATGATGTGTACTGTCATGGATTAACTTAAGTTTTAGATTTATCCAATTGTCTGTTCCATATTTATCAAATTATATTATTAACTTTGTGAATTATCTTTAGCTTAAGTAGAAAGATTCACAGATTATTGTTGAGAATGTTAGATTAGCAAAGTACAGGGACAAACCTTTACTAAACAGCCAATCAAAACTCATTTTCTGTTGTTACTCGCTACATGTCCAGTTTTCATTGGTTGATTGTATGTAGTTGTTTAGTTAGCTGTAGATGAAATGATGAGTTCTGTCACAGATTTCAATATCACTATGGAGTTATAAAAAAAATGTGCATTCATCAAAACAAATCAAATTATAGTACATAACATTTTATGTTGAGAAATAAAGATTAAAATTTTTTTCAACTAAAACCGTTAAAATCCTCTTTGGTTATATGAATACCACCTTTTAGGTGCCAAACGAGGAGACTAAAGAGACAGTAGGAACAATTTTAGGCTCGTGTTTTTCTGTTCGTGCCAGATACATTTCCAAAGTGGTAAAACTTACATAATCTGAGACAGGCTTGATTTGGTATTTCAGACTTGGTTTATCTATTATTTCCTTTTTAGTTCACCCCTCTCCTCTTATTTTATTCATGAGGGAAAGAGAAATCTTTTGCCATTCTTCGACCTGCTTTGGGGTTGTGGTTTCATTTTTAATTTCAGTTGACCCATTTATTTTTTCCTCCTTTTTTAAAAATATTTCCAGAATCGTATGAGCAACTTATTGCATTTCCTAGACTGCTATTAAAAAATATAATGTATATTTATCATATAATAACAACAAAAATTTGGTTTGTTTTGATGGATGTGTGTATTACATTAATATAACAAGTACCTATATGCACTCTTGTTTTACCAACTATGTTTTTTTTTCTAAATTCAGAAAGAATTAGCCAAATTGGTAATTTTACAAATTTGTACCCTTTTTTTGAAACAAATGGATATTGCAGGCATCTTAAAAAAATATTTTTATTAGAGATGTCAAGAGACTCAAACAACAATTTATTTGCATGGGTTTGAGGCTTCAGCTATTTCAACATCTTTTTTTAAAAAGTTCCTTGTTTTGGTTAGGCTAAATACCGAAAAAAAGTAAGATATATTTTTAAATATGTTTAAAGTTTAAGAGAAATCTGTTATTAAATTATACCGTGATATTTTGTTAGAAGAAATGAAGCAACTAGCTATAAGGCTAATGATAAAGGCAATTTAACATACAGATTTAGCACCTTTATTTGCAACTCCATCCTCTAATCCTTCTGAGTCTAACTTTAAAGCTTTGCATGATCATGGCTTGCATGTATTACATTGACTAGAGCAGTGGTTCTCACACCATACTGTCCCCTCCCTCAAGGGTTGGGAACCACTTTGTTAGAGCATGCAGAAAACTAGTTCAACTGCTCCTCTTTGTTTGTTATTAAGTAAAGTTTTGAAGCCAAAATTCATTGTTTTGACCATAATGCTTTACAATTTAGAAAAAAATCTATGCTCATTTAAAAAAAAATAAACCGGTTTATTTAATAATAATACAAAATAATTATTATAATAAATTGTTAATTCACTATATTTTATTTGTAAGATGTTAAAAATTTAGTAACAGATTTGTATTTTTAGCCTAAGAAAATTATTGTTAAAAACTCTTATGACTTTACAACTGAATGTTTCTGATAGTTTTTCCTGTTGAATGACATTTTTTTGTCTCACTAGTTTGAGGAGGCAGCTGCTCGAGATGACTTGATGGGGGTAGAAGATACAGCTAAAAAAGATATCCTTTTCACTCAGTAGTTAGTTAAGATATTATTGTTATCATGTATGGTGACTTGATGGGGGTAGAAGATACAGCTAAGAAAGATATCCTTTTCACCCAGTAGTTAGTTAAGATATTATTGTTATCATGTATGGTTCTAAAAGAGAATGCATAGCTTAGAGATATCATTTTTGTGGGTATAGCTACTGTTATACCGTGTTTACACTTGCGACATGTATACTATACATGGTTAGAAAAAAAAACTTCGCAATAAGTGAGTAGGCTCCCCTATTAACTTAGGCTCTATAGAAATGTATAGTATACATGTCGCAAGTGTAAACGCGGTATTAAGATGATACAAATCCTGGAATTGGAATGCAATTAGCAAAAAAATATTTATTCTGATTTTACAAGAACAATTGTATATGGGTAGATTGTTATGCTTTGATTCAAAATCAAGGTAATGCTTAAAAAGACAACTAGTTTCATTATAATAAACCTAATTCATAGTGCAAATATAGCTGTTTTATTTTTTTTTAAGTTTCCTTAATTCCAATCCAAGTTTCTTCTCATCCAAGCCAACAATGAAAAACAGGTCAACTGTTTTTACATTGGGCAATAGAGGGGATATCCTGACAACTGAGCTGGAAGGTCCTGTCATTGTGCCACATGCAGCTGCCAAGAATGACACTCGAGTAGGGCCCTTCAACTCTTCTTATTCTTCATCAATCCTAATTAATTAATTAGAGATTTCCTCCATTGCAATTACATATTAATATTCAACATGTTATGTGCCCTATGGCATTGACTCTTTCCATAGCCTTTGTCCACTTAAGACCTTGGTTGAGTATTAATTAGTCATGTTTATTAATAGAAGTATATGTTTAAAAGGTTTTGTAATAGATTACCACACTGTTATAGTTTGTATTGATTATAACTTTATGGCTAAATTTAGTGTTATTGGGGGGAAAAAAAGTAAAGATGCCCTTTGGGAGCTGACACCCAATAGGGCAGTTGAAGTAAGGTTAACATGTTTCCAAGACCATGGCTTTTAAATAGATATTGTGGTCAGTACTATGCCCAGTTATTTTTACTGAGTCAAGTCCCCTATAGAGATAGGTAGACTTGGGATGGCTTACAGGCTTGAGCCAATTGTTAACGGTAAAAGATAAATGTAGTAATATTGGTACCGTGTTAATTGTAATAATCAGTAAAATGCTGGTATTCAACCGGTAAGAGGGTCTGCGCCGCTTCTTTACCGGGAATATAAACTCTAGTATAGTATACTAGAGGTAATATTATTAAGGTCTGATGACTAAGGGTCAAATCAATGCCCAAAGTTTACAGCCTTAGTAGAATAATAATGGGTTTTACCAGGTCCGATGACCTCTTGTCTCTGGCAAGGGTTTACGGCCGGTGAATAAAATAAAATAGCAGGTCCGATGACTACGGGTCAACTCAATGCCCGCAGTTTACGGCCTGTAGTAAAATAGAATGAGGCTGTGTATAATATAATATCTATTGCTCCGTGGCTGATACACGTGCAGGATAAAAGTAGGACAAAATGTAGGTAAATGTCTACTCAACTGCCGCGTGGAATTACGTCACAGGCAGGAATAGTTTAGGTCAAATAAGTATTTAAATTCCCTGTGTGCTAAGGCACGGGCAATGTAAAGTTAAGTTAAGTAATTCAGGTAAGTTATCGACTGTCACAATGTAAAGTAACAATGTAAAGTGTTTATGTAAAATACATGACAGCAAGATAATATTTATATATAGTATTTATTAAAACTCCTTGTTACACTGTTAATCAAATATGCATATAAAAAGTAAAGTTAAGTAAAAGTAAGAAACAATTAGTAAAACCAAACCCAAAACACGTGGAGGTCGGGCCGACGGCCCCAACGCCGCGTGCGACACCACCAGCTGAGCTCAGTGCTGGGAGAGTGCGAGATTTCTTTGTTGCATCCCCTTATATGCCTCAACATTGGCGGTGTGTCACGTGGACAAACTAGCCAACTAGAGAGGGGCCTGCGAGGGGGACGAAAGATAGGAATGTACGTAGTTGTATAGAGGGGGGGGGGAAGTATAGAGCAGGTAAGGGGTGGTGTAAGAATAACGTGGAGCTAGGCCTAAACGGTTTTACCGTCACACCAATCAATAGTGTTCTTGGGTATACTATTCATACAACCATTTGAGCATGGTTAATCAACAAGTCATTATCCTTGCGTTTAAGGTGGTCTAAGTGATGTATTTTGAATAGCCTCTTATATGGATGCCCATATAGCTTTACTAAAATTGTACTTTACTAAATTTGCATGTTTTAAAATTTAAAAAATGTATGAAAAATTAGTACATAATAATGTTCTGGTAAAATCATGTTTATTTTCAGTACTCGTTTGAAAGCATATTCCGCAGTCTTCACTTTGCCTTGATGGACAACAGCTGCAGGGAGTACTTGTTCCTGTCTGACTTCTTCATGGTGTCTGGTGGTGGGGCACAGAACTTGTTTGACAACATCTTGGGCAAAACACTGACTATGTTCACGGTGAGCTCTTGTTCAATGTTTTGGGTGTGTGGTGGTACATGTTCATATTCTGGGTGTGTGGGGGGCACATGTATAAATATACATACACATATTTTAATGTGTTGCATAACAAAAGTTTTATAACCGTTCCTTTATCTAGAATTTCAGTCTAAAATTTATCATAATATACATTTATCGCAAGTGAGGTATAAAATGGTTTTTTTTTTAAAGAAGAGGTTTTGGACTGGTTTATTGCAGAAAATGATGGAGGAAAACATTCAAGACTGTTATGACTCCATTGGGATTTTCCTGTCATCTCACATCATCTTCAGATATCAGAGTATTATGGCCAAGAGAAATATACCAGCACTGGACAGGTTAAAGCTGCTTTTTGTCTTAATTTTTAATGTTTGACATGGGTTTGTGTTGGTGAATAATCTATTGATGTGGTGGGTTGTTGGTTAAAGATTGAGACCCATTGATCTTGTGAGTTGTTGGTAGAAAAATTGAGACTCATTGATCTTGTGAGTTGTTGGTAGAAAAATTGAGACTCATTGATCTTGTGAGTTGTTGGTAGAAAAATTGAGACTCATTGATCTTGTGAGTTGTTGGTAGAAAAATTGAGACTCATTGATCTTGTGAGTTGTTGGTAGAAAAATTGAGACTCATTGATCTTGTGAGTTGTTGGTAGAAAAATTGAGACTCATTGATCTTGTGAGTTGTTGGTAGAAAAATTGAGACTCATTGATCTTGTGAGTTGTTGGTAAAAAAAAATGAGCCACATTGATCTTGTGAGTTGACTAAAAATTGAGACTTGTTGATCTTGTGGGTTGGTTAACAATTAAGAACAATTAATCTTTGGGGTTGTTGGTTAAAAATTGAGAACATTGATCAGCAATGAACAAGTACTATCATCTAGTTAAATATATTTTGCTTGAATAATAGCTGAATTGTTTACAGAAGAACATTCTTTAATTATACAAAATGAATAAGAAAATGTAATGCTAACCTTAAAGCCTCTCATAAACTTTACTTTAACTTCAACTATCAACTAAATTGGATAAAAAAAATTAAAATATAACCCAACAATTAAAATAAAAAATCTTAACAGTTTTTTTCACACATCAGAAAGAATATTGTAATGAAGTGGGTATCTGAATTTCAGATACTGGGACTCCATCTTAAACTATCTGTGGCCAAGGTTTGAACATATTGTATCTATGAACATCCAGAGTGTTCGGGAGTGTGAGCCTAGCAAATTGGGCCATATTGATAACAGGCCACATTACGTAAGTACATTTAGGGCCATGTTATGTAGGTACATTTAGGGCCATGTTATGTAGGTACATTTAGGGCCATGTTGTGTAGTTACATTTAGGGCCATGTTATGTAGGTACATTTAGGGCCATGTTATGTAGGTACATTTAGGGCCATGTTGTGTAGATACATTTAGGGCCATGTTGTGTAGGTATATTTAGGGCCATGTTATGTAGTTACATTTAGGGCCATGTTATGTAGGTACATTTAGGGCCATGTTATGTAGGTACATTTAGGGCCATGTTGTGTAGATACATTTAGGGCCATGTTATGTAGGTACATTTAGGGCCATGTTATGTAAGTACATTTAGTGCCATGTTATGTAAGTACATTTAGGGCCATGTTATGTAGGTACATTTAGGGCCATGTTGTGTAGGTATATTTAGGGCCATGTTGTGTAGGTACATTTAGGGCCATGTTGTGTAGGTATATTTAGGGCCATGTTGTGTAAGTACATTTAGGGCCATGTTATGTAAGTACATTTAGGGCCATGTTATGTAAGTACATTTAGGGCCATGTTATGTAGGTACATTATTAGACCTACCTAACGTTAAAAATTATGAATGACAGCTTCAATCAGTAAAAGATTTCTCTTCCAGATAACAAGGAGATTTGCAGAATTTTCTGCTGCCATCGTGGGCATAAATGCCTCCTACCCTAATGATCGAGTAAATCGGGTCTTGGGGCAGCTCCAGGCAGAGGTTGAAAACTTTATTTTAAAGATGGCTGCAGAGTTTCAAACACGTAAAGAGCAACTCATTTTTCTCATCAACAACTATGACATGATGCTGAGTGTCCTTGTTGTAAGCTTATTTTCTACAATTTATACTTATCTTTTTTTTTTAATTATGTTAAATAATTTAAGCTGTAAATTCAATTTTTTCAACTAACACACTTAAGTTATACTTGAAAATAATTAATTCATTAGGACTAAATTAATATACCTCCAAAATGGGTGGGGGAGAAGGGAAATTGAAATCAAAATTAAAATTTTGTGTTATCAAGAAGGCTTATGATTTGTTTAAGAAAACTGGTAATGATTGGTAAAGAACAGCTGGTGCTTTGATAATTTTAAAAATTGTTTAATGGAGTGGTTCTTAATTGATTACATTTTTTAAAATATATTGATCTGAGGAAAATTAAAATATTCAACATTTAATTTGACTGCCTGTATTACATTTTATTTTGATTAGTCACATACAACAGGTTTCATTGGGTTGGCTAAGTTAAGTTGAATTGTTGCTCATTTCTAGGAAAGGACAACAGACGACTCCAAGGAAGCAGAGATGTATCGTGACCTTCTGGCTGCACGTACTCAAGAGTTTGTTGAAGAAATTTTGGCGCCACATTTTGGTGGTCTAATTACCTTCGTCAAAGATTGTGAAGTGTACTTAGAAAGGGGAAATGGGGACAAATTACAGGCAGAAGAGAGTGAGGCCATTTCTTATTTGCCTCTAAATTTATTAATTTTTTTACTAAAACTTTTATACTGGAATAATGGGGAAGGTTGGTTAAAAAATTTAGCAGCATATATTTCATGTACATGTTAAGGATAAATATAAATACAAGTATGTTAATGTTCCTAAGAATCATGTCTGTTTTAAGTGGGAGGGGTGAAATTTTATGATGCCATGTTGGGTGGGTGGGGCTCAGATTTTTTTGTAAAAAAAAAACATGTTCATAGGGGGAATGGGGTAAGAACGTTTTAATGTCGGCAACAATTTTTTTTCCAGTAAACATTGCAATCCCTTTATGACAAGTTTAAAACATTGTGTTTATCCCTGTATAGATTTATGAGGTCAGAAACATGTTAACAATATATCCTTTTATATGACAGTAAAAAATGTAATTTTATCTAAAATGTTTTGTCTGTATCCACAGAGAGAGTGCAACAGATAGTAAGGGGATTCAACAATGATTGGAAGAGAGCACTTGAAAGTATCAATCAGGAAGTGATGAGAGCATTTACAAACTTTAAGAATGGAACACAGATCCTTCAGGTGAGATTTTATATACTATAAATTATTTTTAGTCGTAAAGATGTTTGCTTGATTCTAAAGTCTTTGATAAAAATATAACTGGCTATTTTTTCTAAGACAAGCCAAAATAAATCAGTAAGGAATAATTACATATTGTCCTGTATTTTTTAAAAACTATAATATCCTAATAACTATTGTTTAGTGTACTATTTCATCCAATATTTCACTCAAAATTGTCTCATAATGAAAAACAACAATGTTAATTTCCTTGCTAACAAGAATTTTGTCCTAATTGATTTTCTTATTAAATCCAATTAACCACCATGTTAATTTGTTTTCTCACAGGGCGCTTTGACATTATTGATCCAGTACTACCACAGATTCCAGAAAATTCTGGCTCAACCAGCATTCCGTAACCTACAGATCAAACATGAACTCATCAACATCCACCATGTGATGGTTGAAGTAAAGAAGTACAAACCCACATTCTAGCATTTGTAAGGTGATTGAACAGTTGTGTCATATTCATTATGAAATAACCTCATTTGATTATTTATCAATGTATATATATATCTTGAATTCTTATTGGTGAGTCAATAATTGGTTTATTTCAACCTGTTAATAACAAAGAATTATGTTTTAAATAAAGCAACAAATTATTTCTTTCTTCCTGATTTTTTTTAAATGTACCCAACACTTGGCAGTAGTCTCAATTTTTATTAAGCTTAAGCTAGTAGCTATTATTTTCAAAGAAGTGTATATTGGTATTTCAATATAACTTCCAATTGTCCTATTTCCTTTAAAATATTATCCTAGCCTTAAAGAGTAAAAATATTTTTAAAATAGTCATTATTTTGTAGTTTTGTAAAATATTTTTATAGAACTTTCAGATAAATTTAATTTGTAATGATCAAACAATGTATATTGTAGCATAACATTTCAATGTGTGGTTTATAATTTTATGTGCAATAGTTGTAATAGAAAGACAACATTTGCTCCTCAAAATTCATTCCATTTGTATATCTTGTCATTTTAGTTATAGTAACCTTAAAAATTTTAAGTGTGCAATCTTTAAATATCTAAAACAAATGCAATCATTAGGATTTTAAAATTCTCAACAAGTTGCTTGAGGTTGCCTGGTCATGCTGAAGCTGTAACATGTGTTAATGAATTCTAAAGTATGTAAATATTATGACTTTGGTAGTAGAGAAGATAAGTAATAATCGAGAAAATTCTTCAAGTGTTTTATTGAATTTGGTCTGTTTTCAAGTGTGACCTGTTAGATATTATTCAAATGTTTTTTGTAATTTGACTGAATGGATGAATGTTTTGGTGAATTTCATCTGTCTTCAAGTGGGACCTGTTACATTAGAAATTATTCAAATGTTTTTGTAATTTGACTGAATGGATGAATGTTTTGGTGAACTTCGTCTGTCTTCAAGTGGGACCTGTTACATTAGAAATTATTCAAATGTTTTTTGTATTTTGTCTGAATGGATGAACGTTTTGGTGAATTTTGACTGATTAATTTTGTCTGTCTGTGATATTTCAATTCTAAATAAATAAATATGAACTAGAAAAATATATTCATTTTCTGAACTTTTTTAAATCCAACTAGTAAAAAGAAAACAATAAAAACAATTATATTCAGTACATAAAATTTATAATTGGTCATAAATGAAATACTATCAACAATATTTGTTTTCAAGCTGTTTTCTTCTTTAGTCTATCAAGAGCAGAGCCCTGAACACCTTTCCTGCTTTTATTTCTCTCCTTTTGTTTTCCTTCCACTTGTTTTGTCCTCACAATGTCCCGAACTGCTGACCTTATATGCTCTTCTTGGACGCCCTTTTTACGCTGTACGAGTTTGGCCCCACTGCTTCCTCCTTTCATTTTGTTTTTTGGTGTGAAGTCAATCTTGTTGGGTTTTAAATACTGGAACAAAATTATTCAACGAGAAATGAGGATTAAAACAAATAAATAGACATGGATTGAGAAGATGGAGTGTAGCTATGATGGTGTGGAAACTAACAAGTCTGCAATGAGCAAAGCTTCCAGGTAGAGAAGAAAATCAAATTGTAAATTATAAAGACGAACATGAAAATAGTAAACAAACATGAATACATTCCACGTGCTCATAACATAGATAAAATATCACACAAGACATGGATATAGTAAACATGGCTGTAAGCCAAATAAAAACTAACATGAACAAATAAACAAATAATATCCATGAGAGCTATCTTAGACTTGTCCCACCCTAGAGAAACCACTTAGCCTAGTCCCAACCAGGAGAGAACTCTTCAACTTACATGGTACATATTTATTAACCCAAATAATTCCCACTTAAAAATTACAAAAAATTCAGATCTGGAATATGAAACCTAATTATGCACGTTTGATGAAATGTTACTATAATTTCCATGGATATGTTAGTTAAATAATAATTATTGTTACATTAATAATTAATAATAATATAAATAATTTTTCATAAAAGTTATATCATACACTACCTTGGTTTTATTTCGCTCCTCTTGCAACTCTTTAGCTGTCTGTAAATCCACTTTACAAATCTGACCGTCCAAAGTTATCATTTCAGGCTTCACCTGTTAATTCATGTAAAAATGTTAAGAACATTCAAATGTAACATTTGAAAGGAAAAATAAATTAAAAATGGTTAAAAAGTTTAAGTGGTTGACAATAGATTAATAACAAGTGTTGACAGTTTGGACAACTGACCTTGTCTAACAACATTCTGACTTCTGTCTGTTTTCTTTGTGCTTTAGACTGGAAAGGGTTTGCCTCTAGTGCATCATAATTGGCTTCACCAGCACCTAAAAAAAAATCAAAGATCTTTTAACGTCTGAACTAAAGAATGAGTTTACCCAATCAAAAACCCTGAGTCTACTAGTGCTATAGGTTCTCCTTATGTGTTGTGAGTCCTAGGGGCAAGATATGGAAGAACTTAGAAATGATTGCAGGTTAGATAACTCTACAGAGTGGGGTGGGGGCCCAGCTGGCATTGTACCAACAAATCTTCAAATTGGGGGAGGGTAAGTGAGAAATGACCTTAAGTCCCAGCCATCAATATGCCTATAAAAATCTCCACCATCCCCCATTCTCTATACATTTTCCAAAACGTGGTGGCCAATCATTCACACTCACCTATTAAAATACAACTATACTGTAACAAAACCAACCTGGGATTACAATACTAGAAAATCCAGATCCATGTCCAATGCCTAAAACATCTTCAAAGGGACAGAACATCAAATTTGCCACTAGCTTATCACAGCGATGGTACAGATAAGGTTTTTCTGGTCTATAAGCTTGAGATGTCATATCTTTATACACCTAAACAATTCATAATCAAAACAAATCATTATGTATGTCTATTTCATGACAAATATTGTAAAACTGTAGAGCTATTTTTTGCCTTATGCTCTTTTTATACCTAGACACAATTTTTTATTACATTATATTTATCTTACTTCATGAAAAAATTATTGAGTAATTTATACCCAAAGGAAAAATACTTTTAAAATAGTTAAATTTAGCTAACATTAGTTTGAAAATATCTACTTATCAAGTTTGCTGACAAAGTGTCGTCTTAGCCCTAAGCTCCATAGGAATTCAAATGGAACATAAATACAAAGTTAGGTAAACCAAGATATTGTGAACAGAAACAAACACAAGAACAAACCTCCACTACATTATCTCTGCTGACAGCTAAAAGACCTTTCTGGCTGAAGTCCAACAGGCCAGGGCACTGTCTCTTGTTGTACTGGAACCTACTGAGTTCTCTGTAGGTTCTCAGGTCAAAGATTTTAAGACGTCTGTCAAACCCTGTTGTGGCCATGTATCTGGAGGGGAGGGGGGGAGTGAGAAAAATTCATTTGCAAGACTTACATATTTGTATCTGGTTAAAAGGTGAAACACTATTTAGATAGAAACAAATTCAAATACTTTTTTTTTGCTACCAATTGATTGGCGATACATATATTTCTGGATAGTAGTAAAAATAGGGTTAGACAAAGGTTTGTTCAAACTAATTTTAAAGACTGCAAGAAATATATAATATTTCCTATTTATTCTACGGTGTTACTTCTTATCCTACGACATCTATAGCTACTACACCTCTAATAAACTTGTTACTTACTTTCCTACGACATCTATAGCTACTACACCTCTAATAAACTTGTTACTTACTTTCCTGTGACAACTATAGCTACTACACCTCTAATAAACTTGTTACTTACTTTCCTGTGACATCTATTGCTACATCTCTAATACCACTGCCATGACAAAGTATTTTAGCTGCTGGCTCTTTCATGTTTGGAGTCCACAAAGACACACTACCTAAATTAAAAGCAAACAGGATATTGTCAAACCTAAATCTTTCTTAAAAACATTACATTACAGTTCCATTTTATAAAAACAGTTCTAAAATATTAATACTTAATAGAAACTTTCCCTTAACAATTAATAGTATATTAGAAGTTAATGCTTAGTCACACCAAACATTTCACCTTCATCTTTTCCAGTTTGTGCCCAAGACGTAGGGGGAAGATGACGTAGAGTTCATCTGTTTCAGAGACCACGGCATACGAAAGGATAGTGTGGTCAGCACTATGCACAGCTTTCCCTATCATGAGTTAGGTACCCATCAGAGCTGGGTGGTCTCAGGGACACTCTACTGATTTGAACTCAAGACTTTCAGGTTAGCAGTCTAGCTCTTTAACGCTAGGCCATGCCGTCCCTTAGATTTAAAGTACTATACTTACCATTAGGATGTCCTAAATGAACAATAGCTGTTTGTGGATTTACAGTTAGCACATCTAACCTTCCTTGTTTAGTATGAATACCCACTACTTCTTTTCCTACAGATACATCTAAATATGAGAGAAAACCTTTTGCACCCTGCAAAAGTTAATAACAAATTATTAAAAAGACAAGCTTAATTAAGTAACAAGATAAAAATAGCTCAGAAACTATTCTTAAATGGATAAGTATCTTATGTTCCAATGCTCTTAGCCATAAAAATCTCTAGACTATGTATCAAGCTAGTGTACTTACAGAGGAAACAAGTAGAAAATGATAAGGTAAAAACTCTAGACGAAGGGTCGAGTCTAAATGTTTTAAACAATGCAGCTCTATTCCCTGATTGTCGTATATATACACCCATTTTTTCTGTGCAACGGCAAACATTGTTTCTTGATGCAGCCACCTACAGAAATGGCAGTTTTTAGTAAAATATTCTAAGAAAACAAAAATATGAAGGTGATAAATGCTATTTCTTCTTATTTTTTTAAGCTCCTTGGGGAGCGTAAGGTTAAGTTGATATTAATATTGCTACTAAGCTGTTGTTGTTCTTTTCTTTTACTCCATGTTTAATGCAACAAAACAGCAGTCATAGACAAAGACTTGATTGATGAGGCAAACTGCTATGTCTTATAGAAATATGCAGATGTGGGGATCTGACTGATTCAATAAGTCATTCTTCTTCTTCTTCTTCGTTCTTAATTATTAGTGTTGAAGGGGATCGAGATTTATCTGCCAGTGGGTTTGAACTCGAGACTTTGTTCGAATTTATCAACCATGAGCTTTTTGCCGACTCGACCACGCCTCCAACACAATTAAGCGGTACATGTCAACTGGTTATGCGCCATTGAGGCCATTGACTCCGATTTCAGCCTGCTTTTCTTTTTGGATTTTGCTTCCATAGCCTTTGTCCAACCAAGAACAAACTACAAGGCAGCAGTTGTTTAATTTTGGAGTTGTCTCTCCTAGAAGAGTGCCTGTCCCCAGCTAACGAGCCTCATCTGCCAGAGGGTTCGAACTCGAGACTTTTCGGCTTAGCAACCATGAGCTTTACCGACTCGACCACGCCGAACCCTCAATAAGTCATTGATAGATGACTTTATTTTACACATCCTAATAATTAATATAATTCTGGGTGAATTTGATCTGCCTAATACAAAGTGATGGCAAAGCTTACTTACTTCACATCAGTTACTGTTTCCATTACATTCATCTCGCAGTGAAGGCTTTTTGTCTGCCAATCAAATGCTGCCACATGACCCTTGGCTCCCCCAATCAAAAGATGTCTAAAACAGAATACATGCAGTGAAATGGTTAATAAAAATAATTTTTTATGATTGCTTAGTGGATTTATACAAGCTCACACAAGCACAAGGAAATAAAAGAATTACGTCTTTTTTGAGGAAATATTTTAGTAGCATCTACTTGCGACAGCGTATTAAAAAAAAAACAGTACCTGCCATTCCGCAAGTAATCCATTCTATAAGGTCCAAATTGGTTAAGATGTAAATCAAATATTTTTTGCTGTGTGGCCTCATCTGCTTGGGCTTTAATTTCATTTTGTGAAATCTGGTGTGTACTTTCTCCTTCCAGATAGCTATTAAATACAAACAAAATAAATAAGGAAGGCAAAATAGATATTTGATAAAAAGTGTAAACATATTTTCAAGAAACAATTGTTCAGTATTGTGTGTAATTTTTTTTTTTTCACTTACCCAACCTCTTCAGTGCGAAGTAACTCTGTGCGTGCAGACTTTTCAGCAACCTTTTCAAAAGTTTCTTCTCTTTCTTTCATTTTTTGGGTGTGAAATTGTTTCTTAGCAAATCCCTTTGGAAATGGTAATTTAAATATTTAATGAACAATTAAGGAATTTTGAAATCAGGTATAAGATAAAAAGCCTAATGCTCAAAGACTGATAGACAAAAAGCTAACTGCCTGAAAATACTGTAAACCACTTTTTAATTAAACAAATCTTTTGGAATAAATATCTTGTTTTCATTTCTTGTAATTACTTTAACTTAATAAAATATGACTTTAAATTAAAATTCACACAATAAAATGCAATTTATCTTACTGATGTTTATATGCTATGTGACATGTAAATAAAATGTTTGGTGTGTAGTACAAAAGTAGTTTAAAACTTTAATTGAAATATGATTTTACTCAATAACACACAATTATGTTCTGATGATGAATTGAAAAGAAAAACAAAATTAAAACACACTCAGGTAAGGGCAACATCTCTAAAGTTGATTGTTACCTTTGCACTTTCACCCCGGCGCCATTTCTTTAACTGCTGCTCTGGGACAGGCTTTTCTTTAATAACATCCTGAAAGCAAAAATAATCTCATGCTCTAACAGCTGTAAAAATAAGTTAAAAATAAAAACTTCACTAAGCAATAATTTTTAAAAAAGTATTTCCACTAAAAAATATAGCAGCTCTACTTGCCTTGCTCCTTCTCATGAAGCTAAATTTGCCTCCTCCTTTACTGTCTGGATCTTTAGGGACAAAGTACCTAATTTTCATCTGCAAATTTTAAAAGAATAGCGCTTATGATCATCTGTCACATTTTTAGAGTAAGAAGTTATTATTTTTCTATTAATCATTCACATTACAGTATTAAACATATTTTTAGGGATGATGAAGTGTTTGGGGTTTGCTGTGACAAACCTTATCCTAGGAGTTAAGCATTGCTTCATATATATTTAAAACACAAGACAAGATAGAACAGTTATGTAAGTGAAGAGTCTTAACATTTTCAACTTGAAAGGATTTCCTAGCAGTACTGGGACAGAGGACTTGAATTGTAGGGCTCACGAACACTAACCCAAAAGTCTCAAGTTTGGATTCCTGAGTTCAACCAGCTCTGATGGGTACCTGACTCATATTTGGGAAACAAAGGTGCCTGGGCATAGTGCTGATAACACTATCCCTCATATGCTGTGATTATTGAAACACATGAGCTCTACTTCATGTGTCTTGAGGCAAAAATAGGAAAAGATGATAGAAGAATGAGCTAAGCTGTACCCACATAATCATATCCATTCTTAGAAAATTAGGCTAGGGTAAGAAAAATATTATCAATTAAACTTGATAAACCAGGGGCTATATAAAAATTGTTATTATATTGAGTATAAAAACATATTTAGACTAAAAATAAATGGACAAGACAAACCAAAAGAAACCAAAATATAAAAATCGCCCATGTGCAGATAATTTCCTATAAAACCAAAATGCTTTTTCATTGGTCTGTATCAGATCTACCAGTAGTACCAGACACCTGTATTACCACTTTTATCCATATTATGGATATTAATATTCTTCACAATGAAAACTGTTAAATTAAAAAATATAGGCTTAGGTATATGCTTAATTTTAAATCTGAAATAACTCATTACTACTACAACTTCATTCCTAAATTTAATTAAAATGTTTTTAAAATATTTTAAATTAACAGCTAGCTAGTTCTCAACTTAGGCTCGCAGGTGTTGGTACCATGCAAGATGTGAAAATCAAAATGGCATGGTAGAATTGATATATTTGCAGAACCACTGGTAAGCTGCGAGACAGTTTTTCGCAATTTTTAAAGAGTTTGTTTTAATTGTAGGGCCTAGTAATTTGCATTCTCTAATCTCTTTGATTTTAAAACACAGGTTTTTTGTGTACATAAAAACAATACAGTTATTCAACAAAATTACCAGATTAAATGTCTTTTTTTCAAAATTGCTATCACAATTACCGAATTACTACATAATGGCAATAATAGGCCTGGATCTATATAGGCCTACTTATATAGTATATACTACAGACTACTGTATAGTAAAGGCCTAGTCTTTTTCTTTACGTTGTTGTTTTTTTTTTTGTTTTTTTTTTTTGCATCTTTCCTTGCATTAGTGATTAGTAGGGACTTGGATGAAATTTCATTTTTAAAAAAATAAAAAATGTAGTAGCACCAGTTTATAGAGCTCATTTAGACAAGAACAAAGATACTTTTATTTTAATTTTAGCTCAAACGGTTACGAAGTTATGAATTTTTAATGTATTTAATTTTCGGTTTTTTTTACTATGGGGTTTTCTCAATTTTTTGCTTCCCTACTTTTTTGGATGCGAACTAAAATCTCTGTAACTTTTTAAATAGCAGGTATTTTTTAATGAAAATTCACTAAGATCAAGCTTATGATATCAGTAAAAGAGTAAGATAAAAATAATTGAATTGGATGAGAATGATCATAAAAAATAATGTTAACAAAGAGGGTCACCCCCCTAAAATTTTTGAATAAGCGTCTTTGATAGGCTACACACAATCTGTTGCCAAATTTTTATTATATGGAATATCTTACTGAAAATTGGCCTGAATAGTGCCAACACTGTATACATTAACAGAAAGTCAAAATATTTTACTTAGCTTATGTGGTTTTATTACAATGTTGGACAAAATAAAAAAGTCATTTTTATTCTGCGCAACTACTTTTTTTGCAAGAAAGAAGTACAATGTTGAGCTGATTTTAGATTACTTTGCTTATATGCAAGAAATATTGTAAACATGAAGGTTATTATATACTTTGATATTTCCTTTGTTCAAATTTGATTTTAAAAATATTTTATTTAATGAAAAAGGGGTTTAAACTCATATACCCCCCTTAATTTTAAACAATAAATTCTGCTATAGGCAACACATAATCTGTTGCCAAATTTTTATTATATGGAATATCTTAATGAAAATTGGCCTAATTGGTGCCAACATTGTATACATACACACAAAGTAAAAATATTTCACTTAGCTTATGTGGTTTTGTTACAATGTTGGTCAAATTTAAAAAGTCATTTTTGTTCTGCGCAACTACTTTTTTGCAAGAAAGAAGTACAATGCTAAACTGATTTTAGATTACTAAAATTGTATCTAAATGTTGTCAATATGCATGATATTTCATCCCTGTTATGTGTATGTTATCATAGAATTGATATAATTTAATTTACAATTATTGTTGAACAAATAATTTAATAATTGAAATGATTTTTTTTATTGGTGGAGTAATGATCACCATTTAATGTTAAAGGTAAGTTTTATAATTAAGAAACATCTGTCATATATTTAAGTGACATCTCATGCTGTGTGGATAACATGTAAGTCTGTTAGCTTGTATCACTTTTTTTACTTTAAAAAATAACACCATCAATGATTTAAAAATGAAATCTGATTAAACATCTACTGAAGCTGTGTCTCCTCTGGCTGATAGCTTTTAGAACTGTAATAAAAACCAGCAACATCCATTCTTAAGTGGACCTATTTCTCCTTCATTGAAGTTGCTTATGAGTAGATCCACATCTTTTGATTCTCTATCCCCTTGTGAACTGGTACATTTTATCTAGGGCCAAGACTAGTAAAAAAGCAACTGAGATGTATACTACAGCAAAAATACAATAGTATCATATGTACTTCAAATAGGCCTACAGATGAAGACAGAACATTGTACAAGGATTGTAGTAATTTAGTAATAAATCTAAAACGAACAAAGTCCTAGAGCTATAAAGAAAATATAGGACTCCTAAAATGTTTGAATATTAGTAATATTGGTAATAAAAATTCGCTTGAAAAGCAATCAAAAGGCTAAATGTTTAATATAGAATTACCCTATTGGCCTATATCTTATTATAAGAAAATTTATAGACCAAATGATAGGCAAATGGAATTTTATATTAGATTCTAGATCTAGGCCTATATCAAGCTTTAAAATTTAAGAAAAATGTGGAAAGTACACAAGATACTATAGTGATAGCTAATATAAAATATAGAACTCATTCAAGAACAATATAGATCTATATCTAGGCCATACAATTAAAATGAAACAATAATTCAACTTGAAAAATTTCGCAGAAATCTATTTTTAGATCTAACTCAAAATTACAAAAAAAATGAATCTAAATAGAAAATATGCGCACAAAGTCAACAAAAAATCATAGTTTTATCAACATAAAATATAATTCTATAGTTTAAAATGATTTTAAAGTCAGATTCGTGTGGATGTTGCTGGATTTACAAATCAATTCAATTGAGAGCAATGGCGTCATTAACAACACAAGTACACTTCCGGTTTCAACCTCTGTCTTTCCCGGTAGTCGTAAAATGGCTTAAGGCTATACTTTCTAAACTATTTATAAAAAAATACTTTGCTATCGATTAACATTATGAAAATTTACACACATAAAGAAAAATGGTGATTATGGTCGGAGGGCTTTTTAATGGCCTTCCTTGTTAGTAAGTTTTTATGGTACAAAGAGTTTTACGTAGCCAAAGTTTGGCTCCAAAAATCCATTTTCACCTTCAACAAAATCACAAAACAAAAATACCGTAACATATGAAATCCATTTGTTTTTCAGAATCAGTCATCAAATTATTAGTAGCATCGGCGATTTTTAATAAAAAAATTTTTTTCGATCATCACCCGCGACCGCACGGCTAAATCGACGAAACTCGGTATGGGCAGAAAACTCTCGTTTTTAGTGCCTCAAAATCTACGTCATCCAAGTCCCTAGTGATTAGTTAGAATGATTAGATTAGGAGTCCAGGTATCCTAATTTCAAGCACCCACTAGGCCACTACTACAATACACTTACAGGGATTAATCTCTAACCCCCCCCCCTCATTGTAAACTAAAACTATTGCCATTGAACTTGATTGATCATTGAACTAAGCAGCAGCGGGTAAGCCTAGGCCACACACACAAGTTGAGTTGACAATTTCCCAACACCCCCGAGCACCAAGTAGAAATCTAGTACAAGTTAGTAGATCTAGTAATACTGTTTTAATTTCTGTATGGATAATTATGTTAGGCCCACTAATATTTACCTTTTGTTCACCCTTTAGCTCCTCGGTTTCCATTCTATAAAATGCTTAAATATAAAATAATCACTCAGATTACAGTACATGTGTGTTTGTGGACATTTGGGATTATTTTAGTTATATACCAGTCGAGCAGTTAAAAATAATTTTTAGGCCTAGAATCTAGCCCATTTTCGTTCCTGTTTCGTGCGCGAAGTGTAATTTTTTTTTTTTACTTTCTCGTATATACGAAGTATAGAGAAAGTCTTGTAATCGTGCAAAAAAAATCGAGATTTTTACAAATCTCGACGTTTTACACCTCACTGATACAAAAAAAAACATAATTTTGCAATCTTGTCCGTATGTCTGTGTGTCTGTCTGTCTGTCTGTCTGTCCGTGTGTAAACACGATAACTTGAGTACCGTTACAGCTAGGTTGATGAAATTTCATATATAAGTATTTTATCAAAATCGTAGATCCGTATCAACTTTTGAGCGATTTCCGATAACCGGAAGTGGTACTTTTCCTACTTTGAATTTTTCAAAAGCCTATAACTTGAGTACTATTTCAGATAGATAAATGAAATTTCACATGTAAGTAAAAGATCTAATTCTCTACCTTCTGTTAAATTTTGAGTAATTTCCGTTGACTGGAAGTAGTACTTTACGCTACCTCCGATTTCTCAAAAAACTAATGTAAATTTTAAAAGTACTAATAATATTGCGCACTATTATGCGCTTTTTTATTTGGCGTTCACTTGGTGTGCAATTAATTTGTCTACGAGATTTTATTCTATTTTTAAAACTTTAAGTATTTAAAATGGATTAAAAATCATGTCTATAGCCCGAGTTCCCATCCCTTGTTATTTTATATAAGAATATTCGAGAAAGTTTAGGGGAGATCACTCCCGGTTTATTTTGTCTTATTTTTAAGCAGCCATGTACTAAAATAAATATTTATAAAAATTTTGTTATATTAATTACTTAATAATTTTTTTCATTGATTTTCATTCAATAAATAGCGTAAAATTAAACAACTTTGCTATAGATATAAAATAATATAATAGTGAAAGCGTTGGTCGCTCTACTTGTAGGCCTACTTATCTTTTACAACCTTGCCTACTTGTACAATAAAGTTAGAGCCTTGTATTCGTTGTCTTATTTTTAATGGTCAGCTTATTAATCAGAATTAGAAATAGGTTTATAACAGCGCTAGTCTATACAGCCTATCACCTCTACGCCAATCACAAGGCGGGGGTCGGGAAACTGTACAAACCGCACCAGGTGACACCTAGATGTGTAGCGACTTATTCCGGCGCCCTTGGCGAACTATCAACTATCAGATTCTGATCGCCCCTTAGCAGTTTTTATATTTGTGCCACACAACTAATGCAGAAAACAGTCAAATAAGTATGTAAAGCCAAGTAACAGTTCATTTTCCTAACTTTGTGAATATTTCGGAAATATACTGCTTAGACTTAGAATAAGTTTTAACCCCGTTTGGCGTCCCCTAGTGTCGGCGCCCCACCTTCTCCTTCCCTAGCTACGCCTCTGGTGACAACATCCAATGGATACACCGATTTGAAACATAGCTAATTTTAATGAGAAAGCCCCTGTAAGTTTAAGAGCGTATTAAACTTATAAGCCTACATCTTGAGGCATACAGTGACACCATCCGGGATGTGTGACACCTAATTGACTATAGTTTCAGAAAGGTTTATGATGTAGTCTTTAGCGGAGGGTAGGTGACACCCATGTGTTGTTGATCTAGTGACACCACGGCATATAACAATAACACCATATTTTTTTTATTTAAAAAAGATAAACTACCACATTTATAGGTTATGTAGGCCTATAATCTGCAAATTCCCTTATTAAACCTATACCTCCTATCGTAAATGTCTGCCCCAAAGCTACATCTACGAATTCCCAACCCCAAAACACGCCTAAAGGTTGATTTCGTCCCCGCAGTACAGCGCACTAAACACACATGCGCTGTTAGCTTTTATCGAAAGGTTATCGATCTCCGAACTTTTTATTTTCTCACCCCCTGCCAACGTAATCATTTTTCTTTATGTAATTATTTTTGGTTGTGTTTTTATAACTACACTTAATATTTAGCTCGCTACCATAAACTCAAATGACCCGCATTCATAACGAAGCCGAACTATCAGATATAATGTGATTCGTATTTTGAGTGGCCTATTTATACTTGAAATCCATTAACGTTACTTTACCAATATATTGATAGACCTACATGTATTATTTTAGATTCTCGCTTTCTAAATTAGAAAAAAAATCAATTATATATGGGCGGGGGGTGGGGGGAGGAGATAGACCTAGATCTACATGTATTATTTTAGATTCTCACTTTCTAAATGGAATCAAAAATCAATTATTCAATGAGGGGTGGGGGAGGGGTCACGAGTGATATTTTTAAAAATGTCATCTAACGACAGGATACAGTGGGTACAATTTGAACTATATATTTCCAAGAATAAAATTCGATATTAAACTTGTTACACCCATCTATGGCGGTCGCCACAAAATTTGGACATATTTTACTACGTAGAGCATATCCTTATACAAAGGTACCAAAATAAAAAATAAAAAAGCAAGCATCCTAACACTTAACATCCTAACATCTTACCTTAACAAATTATCTTTTGCCTAGTCCTAAACTAAATGTAAGTTTAACTGGAGCGTTAATAATCAAGCCATTGAGCACAGTTGTCATGGACGTATAGTAGAAAGGAAAGGTAACTTGCCGTTCATGGGAACGATAGTCAAAGTAGTGAACTCGACTACGAGGATTGCAGAAGTAAAGAAGGTTCCCTTTCAGATCTAAGTACCGTTGTTTCTTGACCTCGGCCAATGAAATGATGGTGTGGTTAGCACTATTCTCACAGTTGTCCTAAATTTCCCCATCCTGAATCAGGTACCCAATAGAGCTGGATGGACTCAGGGACGTTGTGCGGGCTGAGATCTTGACTTTTATAATAGATTGACGACAGAAGCCTGTGGTTGTATATAACACATTTATTTGGGTCTAACTACCACGATGGTAACACACAGAGAGGACGGAAGGAAGTACACAAGGGACATCACTCAAGATAACAATATTATAAATATAACTAATACAGAAGAGTGAGTTCCCTTGACCTCACAATTATTTCAATCTATTACATCCCTTTACCCTTAGAACACAATAACACATCTCTCAATAGAACAATTGATAGTATCCTAAAATCACCAATTATATTGTAACATGAACACTATGGTAGATTACATCCTTACAAACAATGCACAATATGCTACAACATAATCAAAATACAAAACAATAATGTCAAAGTCCTTTTGACCTTTAAAATCATAGGTCTAACTTATTTGGGACTTTGATTGTCCTGCTTGACCTTCTCAGTGGCTTTTGATTTGGTGACTCAATATTCTGACCATTTGGATTCCCTATCTCAGGAGGTCTAGGATTTAAATCATTAACTCCAGAATTTACATTTTCTGACTCCAGACAACTTGGTTCACTCATATCAACAGAACTTGGTTGTGAAACAAACTGAGTTGGTGTGAACTGTTCAGACTTGGTGGGATTGATAGATTCACACTTATTATCTGCACAAGTTATTTTTAACTTTATAAGACACAGGTCCTGTACATTGAACAATTTGACCTGGTATCCATTTTTCCTTTCTCCCATAATTTCTTAGATACACATTCTTATTAACACCAAATTCTCCTTCAATGAATGTTTTGTCATGATTTAATGGAACTATTTTTGAATTGGCATCTGGAAGTATTATGCTATTATTCAGATCCTTAATTGACATAGATTTCTTTGATTGATCAATTTTCTCAGGTAATCTGATAGTGCTTTCCTGGTAACCAAAAATACTGTTTAAAATAATATTCTGGACCATATCACTTTGCAACTGTGATCCAGTACTTGAAGTGGGTGTATTAAATGGCAAAAATCTTTTTCTTCTTTTGATGTTACCCTTTTAGTTTCTGTAAGTGCTAATGATGTTAGCAAAGTTGTTTGATGATCACATTCCTTCTTACTAATGTATTTTCTTTAAAACATTTGAAATTGCCATATCACCATAATCATTTATTAAGTTACAAATACTTTGTTTAGGCAACTCTGACTGATAATGGACTGCATCTTCTCCATTTTTTTATATTATCTTCACAAAGGTTTTTATTTCTTATTTAATATGGCCTTAAGTCATCATTCACAGACTCTTCAGGCCAACCATTCTTACAGTACTCATATACTTTTATTAAGCACTCATCTTTTTGTGTTTCTCTTTTAATATCATTCACATTTATATTGGAGTTATCCATGATAGTGAAGAGAACAAATACATCTTCTGGTACATAGCTCAGGCTTTGGTTTTTTTAAAGGTAATCTACTAAGACTATCTGCACTATTCTCAGATCCAGGTTTGTATTTCAATTCATAATTGTATGCAGTTAGTGTGATAGCCCATCTTTGAATTCCTGGTGAGGCATGCTCAGGTAGGGTTTTGTTTTCTCCAAATAAACCTAGCAATGGTTTATGATCTGTAAAGATGGTGAACTTCCTACCAAACAGAAACTTATGAAATTTCTTAACACCAAAAATGATGCCTAAGCCTTCCCTATCTAACTGAGAATAATTTTTCTCAGCCTGATTCAAAGATCTACTGGCAAAAGCAATGGGTCTGTCACCCTTCTCATCCATGTGGGACAAGACTGCTCCTACACCATCTGGTGAAGCATCACATGTCAATACAAGTCTTTTCCCTGGGTCATAGTGAGTTAGTAAGGTGTCAGCAGACAAAGCCTCTTTTGCCGTATTAAAAGCAGCTTCTTGTTGTTTACCCCAGTGCCAAGTTGCATTTTTCTGTAGCAGCTTGTACAGTGGTGATAGTTTACCAGACAGATTTCCTATGAACTTTGCATAGTAATTTATCAAGCCCAAAAAAGCTCTTAGTTGTTGGGTATTTTCAGGTTTGGGTGCTTCTTTAATGGCTTTTGTTTTCTCAGGTTGAGGTCTGATGCCTTGTTTGCTCAATATATAACCAAGAAAACTAATTTCTGTCAACATGAATTGACATTTATCTTTGTTTATCTTTAAACCTTTTTC